GTGACGCTTGACTGCACACACCTTGACTGTTCTAGCGAGGTCAGCAGAATTGGAGACGTGTCAAAGCCATTGTTAAACAATTAAACTGTTTATTTATAAATGTAGTCTCTAGTTTATCTATCTCTGTAAAGTTTATTTTATTATTTTTTTTACTATGGTTAATAAGTAAAATTAATTTATTAAATAAAGGGTTACATTTAATCGTATGCATGTATGTTAAATACGTAATGTGTAATTTCGTTTGCAGTTAAACAGAGGGAATTGACAGCTTGGGTATCAAACATAATTTTGGCAAAATTTGAACTCCACTAACGTTTTAAAGCTTGGATAGTGGCTTGGACTACCTCACAGGTGTCAACAGAAATACAAATCGATAACTGCTGAACTGCTAATTGAACTCTGTTCAGTAATTTAAAAATTCAAATTTATTTTGACATTTAGCTTGTGTGTTCTCAAATCCTGTCCAGGAATATGCCTATCACACTGCCCACTTTCATCAGTTGTTCACTGCAGCTCTAAGCTTATTGAACACCCAAAACCGCCCATTGTTGTTATTTATGTAGTAACGATACGAAGACATTGAAAATTTTACGAACACATTATCTAGATAGAAACGAAAGTAAAAGTAAAAGGAAATGGCGGCAGATAAATGAAGATTGCCAAAGTTTTTATAAAAAATGTGCACATTTCTTTTAAAATGAAGGAAATAGAAGAAATAGCATCATGAAGATATCTATTCAAGATAAGTTATTAATAAATTATATGTATAAAGCGTTTTAATGAAGAATTTGAACAGAAGAAGGAAACAAAAGGAGAAAAATACACCTCCTAATACAACAACAAGCTTTCAAAACGATGTTTTACTGGATTTTATTGGGAACTTTTATTACGTTGCCCTCGGTATTACGATATTTTACCATGACAAAATGAACATCGTTATAACGAGTCCGCACTGTATTGATTCTTAATCACATATTTTGCACGTAGCTTAAGACATTGGATGACACCATATAGCTATTCATAGAATGGCATGTTATCTTACGGATCGTTGTTTACTTGCGTTTTTCATTCCCGATATTAAAGAGTCAAGATATATCCGGAACGCAAATATCATCATTTACAAAAAACAATTGCTGATTGGTCGAACGATGTCCATCACCTCCAATCACAACTTGAGAAAAAAATCCCAACTTTTTTTTAACACCGTATGCCAAGGGCTTATGAGGAGAGTAGCATATCAGAAACCCTTGGCTAGCAAAGATGATACTGGAACTAAACTGAAATTTCTTTTAAAGGACTAACTCTATGTTAATTATGAAAATTTCTGCAAGTTTTCTTTTCATAGTTACACATGAGTAATAATTAGCTTTCTTTGTTGTGTTTGTGGAATGACCATTTCATAACTTTTTGTATTTGTTAGGAAATTTAATGCCTGTCAATCACTATTAAACATGATTTATATTCTATATTTAGTAATTAGATCTTTTGATGTCAACAAACCAGGAAGTGAAGTTGATGACCTCAAAGGGGGTGTGGCAGGAGGAAGTATCCTAAAGGGTGTTCTAAAAGTATGTCCTCTCAAAGAATCTTTACAACATCACAAAAATTTATACAACAAAATCAGTGAATTTTTCCATTCTGTAAACTAATTATATTTTTGCTGACATACTGTATGTGTACTTAAAATAGCGGGCTTCATATTTTAGCTGCTATGGCATGGACAACAATGGTGTAATTCATAAATACCGCTAATAAATCATTTATAAATGCAATATATGGCATATTTTTGTGTAGCGCTAATTCATGAATACTCCAACAACTCAATACCCAGTGATTATGCTAAATTTTGAATACACAAATTAATGTATACGTACAGTATATTCATTCAGTTTGAAAAAAAATGTAAAACACACACACACACACACACCCTCACATACACAAATGGCACATAAGGCTGCTGTTGAATTACAGGTCGGACAAGAAATAGAAGTGAGGCCTGGTATTGTGGCAAAGGATCAGGATGGGAAGTGGGCGTGTAAGCCCATCAGATCTCGGATCCTCTCCCTTCTGGCCGAACAGAATGATTTACAGTATGCAGTGCCAGGAGGTCTTATTGGTTAGTCAAGATTCTTAAACTGTTCTCGAAAACCCATTTTAGGAGATCTTGAATGTTGCAAACATGGTTTTGTCCCTTTGCAACTAAAGCAAGAAAATTATCCATAAGTTTATTGTTCATGTAAAGCATTTGTTGAGAGCATGATGCTCTCCTAGATACCTTGTTTAATGTACATGTATTATAAGTAAAAGAAGTGGCATCAGTGAGTAAAATTTGAGCTTGAAAAAAAGAATGATCTCAACTCTTTTCCCCTTAAAATCATTGGCAAAATTTCTTTATGGAACTTTTCCATTTTGCAATAAGATGATTTGTTTGAAATATTAATATTTTTTTCTGACAGGTGTTGGTACAAAGATTGACCCAATGTTATGTAGGGCTGACAGAATGGTGGGTCAGGTCTTAGGGGCCGTTAATGCCCTCCCCGACATCTACACAGAAATAACCATCTCCTTCTTCTTACTGAGACGACTCTTGGGGGTTAAGACAGAGGGTGACAAGAAGGGGGCAAAGGTACAATATGACTCCCTATTGATTTTCTGTCATTCATGAAGCATTAATTAATTTTACTTTGATATGGTCATGAAACTTACAAACAACAGAAGTACATGTAAAAGTGCTATGCCCCTGTTTGAGGTAGAATCACATTAGATGAAGAGACTAAATTGTATACCAAGAAATCAGTAATTATATTGTACACCAAGCATTGAGTACATCTGTATTGTACAGCAAGAATTGAGTAAATCTTTATTGTATGCCAAGAATTTAGTACATCTTTATTTGCTGATATTGTGCATTTACAGAGCACTGTATTCAAAGACATTTTTTTCAGGTACAAAAGCTATCAAAGAATGAAGTGTTGATGGTAAACATTGGTTCCCTGTCTACAGGGGGGCGGGTCATCGCAGTAAAGGCTGATTTGGCCAAGGTTGGATTAACTAACCCTGTATGTACCGAGATCGGAGAGAAAATCGCACTCAGCAGACGTGTGGAAAAACATTGGAGGTTTGTAACAATATGTTATCTAGCATTACATATGGCAGACTGATTCAGTTAAAGCTGGGTTTAATTGACCCTATTTGGTACAGGGTCCTATATAGAATTCAATAAATACGGTAAAGATTGTAGGCTTTATCCTTTAGGTCTACAATCTTATTTAACTTTATTCTATAGTTACATATAAAGTGTTCATCAGTATCAATTTAAATTCTCAATTGAAAGGGTTCAGGACCGTGTACCAAACTGGGTCAAATAAGCTTTGAGGGGTGTCCTCATACCCAATAAAATCATGAACTGTACATTGTCTGTGTAACTCTGTGTGATATGGACTGCTCTGAGCCTGGTAAACTTCTCATTAAAACCTTTCAGAGACCTCTTTATTCAGATATTTTGCCAAGTTACAGCACAATAATTTGTTTGCGTCACTGTAGCTGTACATTTTACATGAGCTTTTGTGACTATTTTTTTTAGATTGATTGGATGGGGACAGATTCGACAAGGAATTAAAGTTAATCCTATTGGACAGGACGATTGAAACATTTTGGGACACTGTTTTTCAATTTATATTAACATCTTAAAAATGATTTCTGAGAATTGTGTCTCTGCAATGACATGGACATGCTGGAAGCTCACTGTATGGTGCATTGTTAAATTATTCACATGGACATACAATATAACTGTTGTAAAATATTACAAAATAAAAATGGAAATACATGCATCTGTAACAGAGTTTTTTTATTTCTCTTCAAAAAATTTCAGTGACGGTCTTCTTTAGTGTATAAAACACACTTATAATGAAGTGCCAGGGATGGACGACTTTGTTTCCTTGGGCCAAAAAAAAAAAATCAAGTTTCTCAGGCACCGCTGCATCAGGTCAAGCACTGCGGCATTGATCAATTTTATTGACATATTGATTCGGGAAGTATTTTATACAGGGAAATTTTCGCCCCCGTTTTATTTTGCCCCTTTAGTCCTTGTTGCAATCGGGCAAATTTTGAACAGGGCGAATCATAAGAAAATGGCATTATCTCTTACACAGAACCGTGTCTGGGTGAATTCAAAACTGGGCAAAATTGTTTGCGAGTGAAAAAGGGCAAAAATAACCCTATATACAATAATACAATTTTCTCTTTTTCCAAGTTGAAAAAGAAAATGAAAAAGAAAATGGATGTGTAGATGTAGTTTGTTCAAATCATGACCCCCCAGGGTTGCTGGGGCCACAATGGGCAATCAAAGTTTTACACGAAAAAATCTTTAAAAAATCTCCCACACTGGGTGTTCAAAATTTTTACACATTCATAGGAAAAATCTGTAAAAATCGTCTTCTCAAGAACCACTGGGCCAGAGAGTTGAAACTTAGGTGGAAGCTTCATTAGTATAGATTCAAGTTTGTTCAAGTCATGACCCCTGGAGGTAGGATGGGGTCACAATGGATGATCAATGTTTAACATAGGAATATAAAGGAAAAAATCTTCTCAAGAACACAAAAGGCATGATTTATAGTCATATCAATATTGAAAGCATCCTCGGATTTTGTTCAAATCATGACCCTTGGGGTAAGGAGGGGCCACAATGGGCAAATACAGTTTTACAAAAGATCATATACAGTAAAACACACTTATAGTGAACACCCTTAAAATGAGTTGATGCTTACAGCAAAGTGATTTTCATTCTCCATGACTGTAAAATATATTGTAAACTTAATGGATATAACGAATTACGCTTATATACCAGTATATAATGAAGCAAAATTGTCCATCCCTGGCACTTCGTTAAAAGTGTATTTTACTGTAGGGACTAAATCTGTTGAACAGCAGCTCCATAATGACTAAGGTGAGCGTTGTCGGACATGCATTGAAAATAATCTCGTTTGATATTCTATCAATAGTAATTTGAGAGCAGTTTATTGGAATAATACATTTACTTCAAGAACAATTTATAAAATGATTGATTCTTTATTATTCATGGTGAGAAGTGATTAAAACATGAATCATGGACAGTGTATGACAGAATCTTAACAAAAATAAATACACCACAAACATATGAAGTGGCAAATTAAACTTGACCACACTAATGTTCATTACAGCACTCCTTCCAAGAATACTGAATGAAAATATTGACATATAAATGAATTTTTATCTTTTATAATCTCAGTATCGAGCAGGCACAGTGTGGTTAATTAATTATTTTATAGACAACAAATATGTGGACAGCTTAATGAATACATGAAAGAGTTATGTTAAATGGTAAGTAGGGGTAAAAAGATTCAATTCACTTAAAAATAATCTCAATGTTTTCAAAACAGGGAGTTTGTTCATTGATCAAAAACAATTGATGTTAAATTCAAGTACAATTCTAAATGATCTCATCCACCAATATACTATGCCCCCTTACCATTATTAACCTATTACATCAATTACTAGTACATGTACATGTATTTATATTTGCTAGAATATTAAAATGATGCCCAATAAGATATATTCTGAAAAAATAAAACTCACTGTCGAATAACACACAGTTGGTAAAACATTTACCAATAGGTGAATTTAAAAAGCAAGGCCTTTATTTTGAGGAATTTTTTTTTTGTTTGCTTGTTTGTTTTGTTTTTATGTGTAAGCTGTCTCTTATATACTTCACTGCATCAATATTTTCATTAAATTTCTGCAAGTGTACCTTCTGAAAAATATCCCATTTTCCATGTGCTAAATTCTTGGTCCACAAAAATAGATTTTTAATTTATATGCAGTTAGATGTTATATTTGTATTAAATATCCATCATCATTTTGATTGTATATGTGAAATAAATGAATGATAGCACCTTAGACAAGTATGGGCACTGGAAGGCAATAAAATGTGATTGAAAACTGCTGCAAAATCACACACACTTTAGTACTTCTTACTTTTAAATTCTTTAAGAAATGTATGAACAACTTATCTAGTATCAGTTAGTGAAAAAATATGAATATCTCATCCTAAGAGTCCATTTTCAATAACAACATCAATGGCTGAGCTACTTTCCAAGTCTGAGAGTGGTGGAATGATCTCAATGGCTTACATTTTTAAACTTCACAATCTGTAATCATCCCTTCCTTACACTAATACTTCTACAAATATGTATCCAAAACTTATACTATTTTCCTCTAAAAATAGCACAACTGTAAACAATTCACAAAAATATACATGAAAATACAAGAACTTTCTTTTTATAGCACTTAGTCAAACAGACAAGATGAGAAATAAACAATAAATATCATCACTGTAGATGGTCAAAGCTTGGGCCTTGCTGAAGTAGATGGGGTGTCATTCTAAACAGGACGCAAAACATTTTTTGGCTGCATCCCTGAAAATAAAAAAAGAGAATGCTCCTTAAAATTTTCCTCGCATCCATAATCCTTCATAACATTAGATATTACAGAAAAGGTAGCAATATTTTCTATTTATATATTTTCATGAATATAGTCCTGTAGTTATACATCAATATAGTCCAATAGTCATACATCAATATAGTACAATAGTCATACATCAGTATAGTCCAATAGTCATACATAAATATAGTACAATAGTCATACATCAGTATAGTCCAATAGTCATACATCAATATTAATCAATAGTACTATATTGATGTATAACAATTAGAATGGTATTATGGAATACCAGGTTAAGGTTAATTTACCTTGTGAATGGAATATATGAGAGGGAATACCAGGTTAAGGTTAATTCACCTTGTTAACAGAATATATGACAGGGAATACCAGGTTAAGGTTAACTCACATTGTGAATAGAATATATGACAGGGAATACATGTACCAGGTTAAGATTAACTCACATTGTGAATAGAATATATGACATGGAATACCAGTTTAAGATTAACTCACATTGTGAATAGAATATATGACAGGGAATACCAGGTTAAGGTTAACTCACATTGTGAATCGAATATATGACAGGGAATACCAGGTTAAGGTTAACTCACATTGAGAATGGAATATATGACATGGAATTCCAGGTTAAGGTTAACTCACCTTGTGAATGGAATATATGACATTGAATACCAGGTTAAGGTTAACTCACATTGAGAATGGAATATATGACAGGGAATACCACGTTAAGGTTAACTCACCTTGCAAATGGAATATATGACAGGGAATACCAGGTTAAGGCTAGGAACTGTAGGATACAACACACCAATGTAAGGGCTGGATTCTTTAGCTGAAAGGTCAAGGACAAATTGTAACCTCTTATCTTCTGCATGAACTAACTGGTTACTAACAGTGAACTACAGTAAAACTTCATTTATCTGGATGATTTCACTTGGGACGAAGGTGTCCAGATTAACAAGGCCCCACTGTACTTAAAAAGAAAACTGCAACAAAGACTTTAACCTAGGATGCTGACACTGAGGGTATCACATAAGTTCCCCCCAACTTCATTGAGGTAAGCTAAAAAATCTATGTTGTGAATTCACTATACATGTATACACTCTGACAAATTCGTTATATGGATACAATGAATTAAGGATTTAGCAAAGCAATTTCGCAAGTCCCTAAGACCTCGCTATACTAGAGTTTTACTGTAACTGGTTAATTTTTTTTTTATATCTAAATCAAATACTGTGTTTACTCTTTTATACATTCAAATACTGTATATCAAATATTTTAAGATACTTACTGCAAAAGCACAGACTAATGTCAGGACAAACATCACCTGAATTACACCAAAAAGAAAAAAAAATATTGTCAGTATTATCATGATTAACAATGATTTTATCAAATGACATCAAGAAGTCTACGGTGAATTTTAAAATGCTCTGACATTCTACTTCCTATATAAATAAATATGACAAGAAGATGGGTTTTTTTTTTTTTTTTGAAAAAAAGCTGTGGTTAAAGTCAGGAACCTACCAGGACTAATATTGTTGCTATTACTCTTGTTTTTGCAAACATTTTCTTCAGTTGTTTAAATGGTCCCATTAAGAAACATGTACTGAAATATACAGACAGAAAATAAATAGAATATTAATATTTCTTAGACAGAAAATAAAACAAAAATAATATGTAATTTAATAAAACAAAAACAATATGTAATGTAATAAAACAAAATGTAATAAAACAAAAACAATATATAATGTAATAAAACATAAATGATATGTAATGTAATAAAACATACACAATATGTAATGTAATAAAACATGAGTATTTTTGCAAAAGAGGTCAAAGGTCAAGATCAAGTGGACTGTTAGGCTTGTATTTTTTAATCATGTAATTTCTATAAAATAATTGATTCTGACTGGATAAAAAATTCTTTTGATAAATGCATCAATAGAATCTGGAGTTCACTTGCACTTAGCAGCCGGAACTACTTTGGCCGACTCTACATATTATCCCTTCCAGAGTACTTTGTGAAAGAAACATAGGTAATCAGAGATTACAGAGCTCACCTCAACGAATGTTGTCCTCAAGTAAGGCAGAAAGATCCTGCTCCAAAAACTTTAACTTGGTCACTCATCCGAAAAATGTAGATAGATGCAGCATCCAAAGCAAGCCTGGTAGTATGCATCTTTAGACTATCATCCATACAAGTTTGGTCAATATAAGGCTTATACATGTAGTTACTTGGAAATGAGACCTGCTCCAAAAACTTTAACCTGCTCAAAAACTTTAACCTCTGTCCCAAAAACATTAGTCTGGTCATTCTTTAGCTGAAATTGCAGCATCTGAAACCTTGACTGGTACAATGCTAGAAGCATCTTCCATGCATCTCTGATTAATATACGCCATATATGTACTTGAAAAGAAATCTGCACCAAGAACTTTAACCTAGGTCGTCGACACCGATGCCGAGGGTATCACATAAGCTCCCCTTTTACTTCATCGAGGTGAGCTAAATATGAAATTTTTTCTCCCTGAATTTCAAAACTTGTTCGATACGTTCCCGAGTTATTTTCTACTTTCGTTTCTTTTCAAATTATCCCCCTTTGCTTAACAAATCAGATCGTCTGCATGACAACAATGCAGTTATGGGAAAGAAACAAATCATCATACAATGTTTGTCTTTGAGATGACTGGTATGAACAATAGAACTGTGAAGAAATGTTTTTATGCTTCCAAAGCGGAGAAATGCTGTTAATCTGTTAATTCTTAGGAAACGAATGCATGAGAAAAGTGACACTGAGCAAGGACGCATTTCTTTCAATGTTAAACAGTTGGCAGCAGGACTCTTCCCGTGTTATGCATGGGCAGGTCAAAATACTTACATATATGTTGGGTTTGAAATTCAGAGGATGAGATGTGCAAATAAAATTCAAAATTTTGGTGACCTAAAGAGAGTTTGCAGGGTTATTTGGAGTAGTTTCCCTTACATTTATGAACCTTAAAATATCAGCTTACCAGGAAAAGTTTGAAGTACATTGTACTTACATACCTAATGGGATATAACAAAGGGTAATAACAGAACTGGTAAGTCATTTTTGTGTTACTGTTAAAAACAGCTATAGTACTTGTGAATGTTGTTTGTTCGTTATTTTTTACTCCGCGTATGAATATTTAGGTCATATATATGTCAAAATTAAGCTGTATGTTCAGCAATCGTTTGTTTTCATGTTGAATCTCATCACTGAAAGATAAATATTAAATGATAAGAAATTAATCTTATAATTTTTTATATAATTTCATCTTTGATCAATGTATCAAAGGAAACGTGGACGGAAAACTTTTTAATCATTGATGAAGTTTTCTGTCCCAGTTTTCTTTGATACAATGATCGAAGAAAAAATTGCAAAATTCATTTCTTAGATAATATCTTATGACAAAGAGTACACATGCTAAATAGCGCAGACTTACCCCTTAAATGTCAACAATAAGCTATATACGAGGGTTGTCCGTAAAGTTCGTGGACAAACTAAAATTTTAGTAAAAGTTGTGTCTTAGACATTTCTTATTAGCATATTTATAATCCTTTACTATATTTGAATTACACAATGAAATTTTTTTTTTCAGTTTTAAGTGTATAATTACAATTATGACTTCATTATTAGACTTGAGATGGTGACCCGGAGCACAACAAAGATTTAATTAAAAAGTTATTTATCACTTTATACATTTCATTTGTATTTTGTAAAATTCCGTGGAAATTTGGGATGGCTTTCACAATTTGAGGTTGACAAAAGTTATAACGTCAAACCTGTAAAATTTGAACGTTCAAAGTTTCGAAATGGCAGAGAAATCCAGGTCAGAGTTTATTAAGACAGGATCGTCATTGTTTGAAAAAAGGATGTTTTCGGATAAGGTGGAGCAGAGAGCAGTGATAAAATTTTGTGTAGATATCGGAAAAACACCATTAGACACCCATAAATTCCTTAAACAGTCGGAAAATCATAGTAAAGTAAGCCATTCCTCAGTGTTTAAGTGGCACAGAAGATTTTTGGACGGAAGGGACAGTTTACAGGATGACATGCGTGAAGGAAGACCATCTTTCCGAGATTGCAGTGCTGTAAAAAATGAAGTTCGTAACGTGACTTTGCCGTATTTCCATACATACAGTTGTTTTACGCAGAAAGTGGTTTGATGATTTGCAGGATCTTACAGAAGAAGTGTTAAATATTATTTCACGTATGAAACCAGAACAGTTTGTGCACATTTTTGATGACTGGTTAAAGCGACATAAGAAATGTGTTGGGTTTAACGCTGACTTTGTTGAGAAAAGTTAAATATATTTAGCTTTTGACGTCAAGTAAGGATTTTCGTTTTCGTGCTCCTGGTATGAGTGTGTATCTTTTTTGTATCTGATAAAAATATAACTATTGTGCTTTGTTTGTGATTAAAACTTGCATATTAATAAACTGAAACATGAATTTAATGAAAATAATAGTTTCATATATTTTATCAATGTTTGTCAGTAATTACCAATGTTGTCCACGAACTTTACGGACAACCCTCGTATCAGGTCTATAAACTATTTTGAAAAGTAGGTCACAGATCATGTTCAAAGGTCATGAGGTTGGTAACCATGACATTTCTCAAAAGCCATAGTGCCAAGCAATATATGTGCAAAATATCAAATCCATATCTCTTACAGTTCTGGAGATATAAGGTGTGACAGACGGACATATGGACAGACAGACGCAAGGTAAAGTGATCTCTGTGTTACTCTGCTCTGTGGGCAACACAAAAAGTAGGTATATATAAAAAAATTACCGTGGACATGTATAAACTCTGGAGAATACATTTCTTAAGAATAATTCAAATCTAAAAAACGTGTACTTTCAGAAATGTTTACCTTGCAAGTGACAAAATATTTCCAAATGTGTAGAAAACAGCAAACAGAACGAGTCCATTTTTAAACCACAGAAGGACGCTTCCCTATATAAATGCATATATATAAAAACATACATGGCAGATTCAAAATACATAAAAAACTTTAAAGTTACCAAACATAATCTGGTAAAATTTTGCCTACTGACTCTAGTGGCAACGATCTCATAAAATTATTATTAACCTACTTAAAACTTTGCTAAAAATTGAAAGTATTTCAGGATTTACACATATTCTCTATTCAGTATTTGTACATATTTAAATTCAAGGGAATTAACAATATATTTTCTTTGAGTAACAAAAATTCTGCTTGTCAATAAGGAACATGTTATGTTATCCAACTCACAAATAGGAGAAATTTCAAAGCCTGCATTGTCATTATACGAGGGTTGTTCAGAAAGTTCGTGGACTATGCCAATCTTCGTTATACTATCTTCAAGAAATATAAAATGAGCACATTGTCATATGTAAAAATATTTATTTTGTTTAAGTGTGAAGTTTCATTCCATGTGATTTAATAGAATTCATGTTATTTAATTTTAAAATCAACACGTTTTGTAACCACGGAGCAAACTCAACAACACTGTAACGTCGAAACATACCGACATGAGGTTCTCAAAAATACTATCTCTATGCATTTCGTACAGTAATGCCAAATACCAGTGCACTCATTTAAAACATTTCTCTATCACTTGAAATCTTTTTTGCTAACAATTGTTCCAGTAGCATCATTTTGTTTGTCAATGTTATATTTTTTTCACTGCATAAGTGTGCTTTCACAAGATCAGCATCTGTGAACTCTCAGCATGACGTTACTAACTTTTTGATGTTTTTGATAAGCTTTTTACAGATAATCCGTTTTCTCACAGATCACCACCGTCTAAGCAGAGTAGTCTATCATTCAAATACCGCTTGTACCATATACACACAAATGCATGGCTCGCTTTTAACATATTTCCAACTTTCTCTGGCATTTTCAGAGATTTTTTTCTGGAGTTTCCCAGAGTACAACACAAAATTGTATGGTTTACTGCTGCTCCGTGACGTTCTACGACGTCATCTTTTTTGCCTTTTTCAGTGAGGACTACCTATCTTCTGAAACTGATTTCTTTCCAACGAAGCAAAATATTAAGTCATAATTTGGAATCAGAAACGACAAAACAATTCTTAATTTGAACGTGTAGCATTTTTCCGTTTTCGTGACATTTTAAAGAAGATATGACTTCAGACATTATTTAGTGTCTTGATTGTAAATTACAAAATTTTGACCTGCACCAGGATCCGATAAATTTCGCACTTTTTTAAGTCTAAATAAGTTTGAAATAAACCAGGATAATTTAAAAATTTTTGATACACATCATTTGAATTTACTGTTGAAATCATTCTTCCAAATTTGGATATAAATATAATATGATGTTAAGTAAAAAAGTTATGACGGTAGTCCATGAACTTTCCGAACAACCCTCGTACATCCGACAGTGACTAAGCATAATGAATGCTACATCACAGAACAAGATATTCAATTTTTTAAGTAAACTGTATATTACATATGTATGTTAAGCTCTATACTTACCAATATAGAGAGGGTTATCCCCAACACAAAACAAACAGCAAAGGCTTTCAGTCTTGTTGACCAGCTTAAAGTGGTAGAATTTGATATCTGTTTAAATGAAAATGTGAAATTTCATGAATACAGAAAAAAAAAGTTAAGTTGCTGAAAATAATGAAATTTCAAATCCTTCTTATTGTAGTTGTCTTCAATACAAATATTTCAAGATCATTTTAATTTTTTCTTCTAGATGCAAAAAAAAACGTTAATAGAAAATACATAGGTTAATGGGTTTATATCAATTTTGAATACAAAATACAATGTACAGCATACATGAGATACCTTCAGAAATCTACTTTTTAATACAGTTTTCAGTTACACATCTTTATCATGATTATAGAATGAATATGTCATGTGAACTTATTTCAATTCATACAAAAATTAGTACAAATAAAGATCATTCACTATTTGGCACAATCAACAATGACTGCTTGGGCACTAAAAGATAGTTATCTCCCTTATGATTCAGACTGATTCACAGTAACTGCAGTACTGTTCTTTTGCAGGGCAGCAAATGATACAGCTTGGTGAAATATGACGTTAAAGTAATTGTTAAATATACGTCATTTGATTATCTGTCAACAAAAACTTCGCCAAACGTTATTATTTTGCCCTGCAAAATAGAAGTACTGCAGTTACTGTGAAGGGGCTAATTGTTTGCCATATCAAATGCAGACCTCATAGAGTAAAAACAAAAATTTTGAAACAAATTTATAATAGTAATACCGATGAGGAGGAATTTTACAAATTTAAAAGCTAAAACACGATACTTTGATAAAATATATTCATTGCAGATTAAAAATAGCTTAAGATGGCACTTATACTGGAGGAAATGGTTTGCAGGGCAAAGATAACATCTACGAGATATAACATGCTTTAACTGGGAAAAATACTCTGAACCTTCAACAGGAATTTGTTTTCACCAGTCATCTCATAACTCTGTGATCAAAATGAATATTTATAAGCAAAGCAGGAAAAAAATCTCAAAGTCGAAGATGTCTGACAGGGTTATTATTTCATCAATATATTCGGGGTGAAACGAAAGTGCAAATTGACTAAAAAAACTTAATTAGAATGATGTGACTGTTCAAGATTATTTTACAAACTACCAGTCCTCAAAAATTTACATTTTTAAAATTAAATTATGCCGAGTAGCGTGTTTTTACTTATACCAAACCTGACTGAATAACGATCCCAATAAAAAAATGAACCGAACCGAAAATGGAAATATTGTACCGTGCATCAAACCAAGAAAAAATACTGCGGTGAATCAATACCGCGGTGAACTGTTTCACCCCTACAATATATTGCAAATAAATTCTGAGATAAATCTCTTTATGTATCGAGGAAGAAAGATTTATTTTTTCTTAAAGCTATATATAGCGTATCTGAGCTAAAAAAAATATAATACAAGATTGAGTGTAGATATACATGATATAATGTTATTTACCATGTTTATGTTCAAATTAAAATTTTCACAGCTTTTGAACTGAATAACCTCAGGTTTCTATAATTAAATTGACTTTAAATGTGTCTTTTATTTAAATGTGGAGGCCGTAAATAAATCGGTTATTGTTTTTTTTTTAATATCTTTTGAAAAGCGGTTGATTTAAATTGAGTAAATTACAGAAAAGTACTATCTTTATACGAAGTAATAAATCAAACTGAAAGATATTTCTAATTTTGGTTATCTGAACTTATCAAAAATATACCATATATGACTTAATCTAGAGCTTTACTTGCAACTCCTTGAAAAGTAAGTGCCGGCCTGTGGACTATACTGAAATGTGCAAGTGTTTTACCGTACATCACATATAGAGAGAAAATTTGCACACATCTTAAAAATAACTTAAGAATTTGTTTTAAATATCAGTATGGTAATGTCAATAAGAAGTCTCCAGGATATTGCCAGATCATCAACAAGCACATGATTGTCACTCATGTGGTACCGACTAATTTACAGATACTTTTTACACGAATAAATTCATCTTGACCTGTGTAACAATTCCGGCTTCCTCTTCTTCGTCATCCCCACTTAGGGCTTTCTTTAATTTATCCATTTTGAGGACGCCAAAATAATTACACTAAATCTGAAAGCAACAAGTGTAGAATTTCCCCCTATTCATTTACCCAAAACAACACCACTTCCGGTCAAAACTCCATCTGGTGGGAGCAAATCAACGGAATATACCGGACTTTGCCGAAAGCTACGTCAGTCGGAAATGTTTGTTGTGTATTGACACTGGCAGCCCAGCTGTATTTGGCAGAAATTGGCTAACACGTCGGATTCGCATATTCAAGAGGGGAAACGACACTATTATTGATGTAAAACAGTCATTGGGAGCCGTTGTATAAAGTTTCATCGCATTTTGTAAGTCCCATTTAGTTATAAATTGCACACAAATGTCAAAATAACGTACAGCTAGGCTATATTTTGATACAGTTGATTGACTTTGTCTATAAATAGTTTTATTATCAGCTGACTTTGTAAACAAATCGTGTTGTGTTGTAACCTTTATTACATTACTTAGATAGGATGTTATACACATTCATTACTCACTAATTTAATAAAATATGTGTTATTTAAGAATATTATTATTCTTACTAAATACTTAGAGAAAATTAGTATAGCTGTATAACTGATTTAGCTTGCCTGAGCCAATGGCTCAATTAAGTCAACTTTTCCAGTCAAAGTTTGTTATCTGTCTGTTAACTTTTTGACTTCTCTAAAACCACTTGTCCAAATTATATCCAAACTTAGTTAATTTACACAAAGCCAGGGTTCGAAATTCACTATATACAACTCGCAAAACGCGAGTTAGAATTCCCAAATTGCGAGTTAAAAATTAGGTAACTCGCAAAAACTTGCGAGTTGATTTTTTTGCATTGAAACTGTAGCAAAATTATATAATATGACAGAACACAACGCTTTTGATTTAAATCAGTAATTTAAAAAAAAAAGGCACACTGTAGTTGTATTTTGTGTATTGTACAGTAGTTACTTTTTCCTTAAGTTACATGTATTTAATTTATATAAATTTAACTTTATATGAAAATTGCGAGTAGTCTTATAAAATTGCGAGTTCACTTTCTTGGTACTCGCAATTATTTGCGAGTTGTAATTTTAGGGAGTTTCTAACCCTGAAAGCATTCTTAGATGAAGAGGATTCAACTTAATTTGTTTTAAAATAAAGAACCATGCATATATTATGTCTTCTTGTGAAAGAGGAGATAATTAGACAAGAAAAAGGCAAAAAATAGGGCAGTTGTCTTAAAAAAATCTTCCTCTCAAGAGCAGTGGGTCAGAAAAGATGAGAATTATGTTAAAACTTGGATTTAAATCATTGTCCCCAGGGGTAGGGAGGGGTACAATAGAAGATCAAAGTTTTGCATGATAATATGTAGGAAAAAGTTTCTTTTAAATCTTCTTCTTAGGAAGAGCATGGTCATGGTAGTGATATCATATGTAAGTATCCTCAGGGAGTGTAGATTCAAATTTTTCAAATCATACCCCAGGGGATAGGGTGGGGTCACTGTTTGAAGAACAGCAGAGCCAAGGTTACTCAGGTGAGCATTGCAGCCCATGGACCTCTTGTGATGATTTAAGAGGGATTGAACATTAGGACTTTTTAGATATCTATAATAGTTTTTAAAAATAGTTTAATTATATTCTATGATACTTGTCACTAATATTTAACCATTTTCATTTTGATTATTTTTCTCAGTCAAGTTTCACAATGCCAAGCCAGGGACCACCATTCTTTTATCCAGATTATTTTCCTAACCAGAGAATGCCATTTATAGATGACAGAATTCCTCATCACCACCAGGGACCAGCCCTTCCTCCAAATATGCCTTTCATGGCACCACCTTACGGGAATCAAATTCAGTTTAGGCCACCTATGTGGGGACCACCAGCTTACAACTATCAGAACAATGTGGTGCCATATGACGATCAGAGGCACCGCAGTAACAACAGGAATCTCCAACCTGTTCAGGGAAATCCCCACAACAATTACAGATCCGACATGGAGGAGGAGAAAACCTGCTGTATCTGTCACGATCGTTTACAAAACTCAGAGGAAAGAGGAATCCACCTGTGTGACGGGGGACAGGAGGAAAGGGAGACAACTGAGGAGGAGAAATCAGAGTCTGATTTCAGTGTGGAACTGCCAGATATGGATGAGCGTCTTGGTAAAAATATGAAGCCCCAGAGGGGCACACAATTCCTATTAAAATTTGATGTCTTAAAAATGTCTAGATTCATGTTGATTGAATTTAAACATATACAGTAGAGCTCATTTATAAGGAACTTGGCTATAAGGAAATCTCAGTTTAATAAAGGGAATTATGTTTTTTCCCCATCTCTCTTGTCATAACACTGGACTTCTTATAACCAAGTTTTACTTTATCCATTTTTGAATAATATTTAAGATACCATGATATTAGACTTCTGTAATTAAAATTAATACTTATATTTTCATTAGTTCTTGATAAGAAATTGAATAGGAAATTCATTTGAGATTTTTAATATTAAAAAAAAATAAACTCACTTCACCTTTTATAGTATAGTCTTTTTCTCCCTATATTAAAATGCTTCTTTTCAAGCCCCGAAAGTGAAAGGCTTTGTAGAGTCTTTTTTATTTTTCTAATTAATAAATAATAATTAATTATTAATCTCCATATTTACAGAGAAGCTTTTGAATGAACTAAAGGACTGCCTAAGGAACAAATATGAAAGTGTCACAGAAACCCTCGAAAATTATGTTTCATCTCGCATCAACAAGATAGGAACCCTCCATAAAGACGTCTTAGAGGAAAAGTCACATCTTCAGAATCTCCAAACAGAGCTCCAGACCAGGACAAAAGAACTGGAGAAAAGGGAGAAGGCTTTACGAGAAAAAGAGAGCCAACTTCACAAAGACCGGGAGAAGTTTGATAGTGAGATTCAGAAAGAGAAGGAGGAGATATGTCGTCAATGGCAACAGCTGCGGGATGAAATCTCCCGAATGGAAAAACTACATGAAGTGCAAAAGGTATACATGTAGAGGTTACTGATGAAAAATTATCCTGATAATGACTCAGGGTAGTTCATAAAGGAAACAGGAAACGGCTACACTGGTGACCAAAATCTAGTTATCCCCCCCTGATTCTGCCTCTCTGGATCTAAGTGCCCTGGAATTTAGTGCCGGTGTTCATAAAAGAGAGTACAAATCAATGAGGGGAAACAAATTGGTTCTAATGTACCCTGAATACAGTTGTTGTGGACCTAGTTAAGTTCACACACACAGTCTAAGTTTAATACATTGATGATATAGTGTGGTACCTCATTTAAACATGATTCAGTAAAGAAAGGGATCTATATAAATATTTCACAGAGTTGGATAGATTTGTCAAACCCTGATGTGATAAACACATTTTTAGGGTCTAAAGCATACAGTTCCCTAAATCTTAAACTGCTGACTGATATTTTATCAGTGCATCAAAATATGCAAAATAACACAAAAGTTCAGTCGAGGTAAGTACAAACACACACAGATTAAACTTCCTATTAATAAGTAAATTTGATTAAAAAGTATGATCCTGTTAATTGCAAATAATGAGTTTAATTATGATTTTGTAAGTCTTAAATACAACAATCCATCTCCTATAGAATATACAAGAGCAGTCTGGGTACACATCAGACAGTACTTGCATCATACATGATTGTACGGTACATACCCAGCATTTTCTGGACTTCTATGAGCTGGATTGAACTTTTAAGAAATGGGGATTCACACAGGTAGTTCTAAAAATCCAACAAAATTTTATTCCTCTAAATTCACATTTTTGTGCAATCTTTTGTACAAAAACAAAACTGAAACCCAATTTATCTCCCTTGAACAGGAGTCAGAAGTTACCTCCCTTGCCCGACACATTCTCTATAAAAAGTTTGCTGTACTATCTATATATTTTTCCTTGTGAATACCCCATCTCAAAAAGACAGATGTAACTTGAATTGTACAATGTGATATGTGTGTTTTTCTCCTAACAATTTCTTTGCAGGCCTGATGATGCGTAAAATCGGGTGAATAATGTAGGATAAGGTATAGGTGTCTGTACCGTGACATAAACCATTTTGTTACCCACAGACCATGTGACAGTCCAGGTCATTAATTAAATGACTTATGCAGGTTTCTATTCTGTTTATATTTTCCTCACACTTAAATCAGTTTACCCGTTCTTTTGCGTATATCATTGACAAGAATTTGACTGTCTTTGCCACGTTGTATAAAGCAAGCATCACTGGTTTCTACTAGTACACTTTTCGGCATCTGATAAAGATTACAAATTATGTCTACAACTAAAGAAAAAAAAATGCAAGAAATATACAAGAATGTAAATAAACACAACATGATATATTTACTGTGTTCTATACGTATGTAATGATGAATATTGATGCAGCGGTCGTATAAATTTGTTGTATGCTAGTTTCTTTTGTACTGATATATAGGTATACATGCCGTAAAAAAGCCGAGAAAAACAGCTTTATATTTCTACAAGAGTTTTCTCCTCAAGCCATTAGGTGATTTAATTTCACCTGTTTACTCCTGGTTAAAACGAAGATAAAATTTGTCCATATGGGAAGGTAAAGCTTATGTAATGACTGGTAGAGTATACTTGTCCTTTTGCTAACTGAGTGATATTTCAAAGTAAGGTGCTTCTTCACTCCTTGATTAATGAGATTAGTAGCTTAGTAAGAATGGATTTACTGAGTAATTATGTTCTTCATCGTTAATTATGTAAATAATGCAAACCAACTTTACTTATATTGTTGTGTATGGGAATGTTCAACAAGAATGTACAGGTTTTCCTTGAAGTATTTATAAAATATTACCTGTTCTCAATATAAATAACACCAAAATAGAAACACAAACAACTCATTGCTGAAAGAATTTTTTTCATATAAAATGTTATTTTATTTGAAATTTCTCTCATTTTGAATACATAATGTTTTTTTTTATTTAGAAATTAGATAAAATGCATGTAAATTGAGCATTTGAATTTAAGAAGAGCGATAACACGAAGAACTAAGATTTTATTAATAAATGATATTTTATGACTTTTCAGGGGAGGATCAAGCTAGACATTGGGGGTGTGATCTTTACTACATCCAGGTTAACCCTAACCAGGGATTCAGAGTCCATGCTGGCAGCCATGTTTAGCGGTCGCCATGAGGTCCGCGTAGAAGATGACGGCACTATATTTATTGACCGGGATGGCACCCATTTCCGCTATATCCTGAATTACCTCAGAGACGGGGGAATCAAACTCGATGCCCTACCAAGAAACAGACAGGTGTTGCGAGAACTCCGAAATGAGGCAGTGTTCTATCAAATCCATGGACTTGTGCAACAAATTGAAAAACTGATTTAAAATGATACTTAAAGAGGCAATCAATAAGCATTTCAGAACCTTGTAATTTAAAGTTTTTTGTTCCTTAATACTGGAGTATGCAATTAAGATGTCAGAAGCAAATACTATCAGGGATGACTTAAGTATTGATGACTAAATATTTGTAAGGGTTTGAACCAGATACCTATATTAAACGACATACTGTTGGGATTAATGATGTGTCAGTATTCGCCTACATGCAGTACTTTCACAGAGTGGCAGGAAGAAAAGACTACCATGCAGAAGAAAGAATGGGGTAGTTTTGATTAAGTAGACTAGTAGTTAGAGTAAACAGACAGATCTGTTTGTATTACTAGACAAAAGCAAGTTAAGTAATGTACGTGTAGTAGTTCATTTTTTACTGTCCATAAAATTAATTAGAAAAGATCTACCATACAGCTGGTAAGATTTAAATTGTCACAGGCATAATGAATCAGTCTGTTTACTAATCCATGTAAATCTTAATGCATCTTTATAAATCAGACTGTGTGCATGTTTTACACTGTATCGATCAAGTGCTTTATTTCTTTTGTTCAAATGCTGTTTCTTGCTATGCATGGATTTTCCCGGGGATGAGGGAATAATATAGAATTTGTGATCAATATGTCAGGGATTCTGTTGTTTTATGTGTATTAATGAGTGCTTGGATTTCATATCATTTTTATGAAAGATGTCTTATAATCAATTTTAAAATAAATATCATATAATAATAAATTAAATATATCTGTGTATGTTTTTTTTCAAAAATGTCCTAACAGAAGAGCTCAACAAGCACCAAGAGTTTTATGTCAGAAGTGAGACACTGTCGACAAGAAAGGATGAAAAATGTCTGGCAAAGTGAACAATTGTTAATTTACCTCCCTCCCCTTTTTCCTATTATTGTCAGGAGGAGGAATTGGAATCGGACTGTTTTTCAGACAAAATTAACAAATTGAATTTATGACCCCCCCCCCCTCCCCTTAGGATTGGCTCAAAACCAGTTTGAGGAGATTTATAAAAGTCATTTTTAGCTCTATATCATGGTATTTTTTTGACAAGCAAAACAAAACAAAACAAAAACCAACTTGCCCAAACTTAAAAATCCTATTTTGTGTTTTGTGGAGGGGGGGGGGGTCCAAACTCAATTGACTTTCTTTACTGTTTTAAATCTGAGGGGTCCATGTTTCCTAGGGAGGAAGGTCCAAGGTCACTTTTTTTAACATTTACATAGAAATTTAATAACTCCTGACCCCCTCTTGATCCACCCATAGAACAATTTATGACCAGCAAAGATACTTAAAAATGTAGTACTTTGATTTTTGAAAAGACTTTAACTTTTCAGGCCTATAGGTTAGAAAACCTTGTTCTACATTCCACGGGATATGACAAATTTCTGATTTAAAATGTAATGATTTACTACATGAATTAATTTAATTTCAAGTGCCACATCATCTGCAGAAACCAACTGTTGATTACGCTTTGTTCCTCTCTGATGATGGAGAAGAATAAAGTCTATATATATTAACTTGCTTGTCAACATATTAATCTCACATGTCAACATATATAAATATTTTGCTTATTGACATATTAAAGTTGCGTCTAGCATGTTGGAAGTCAAAATTTGAAAAATTTCCAATTTATAGCTTACTTGAGCTGAAAACTCAAAATGGTCTTTTCTGTACACATTTTGTTCATCGTCCATTTGTCTGTCCTTCTGTCTTTAAACTTTTCACATTTTCGACTTTATCTCCAGAACCACTGGGCCAATTTCAACCAAAATTGCCAGGATCCATAAAAGAAGGGAATTTGATTATGTTCAAATGAAGGACCACACCCGCTTTCTAGTGGAGATAATTAAGAATTAATGAAAATTTGGTGGCATCTTTTAGAAATCTTCTCAAGAACCATTGGGCCAGTGTAGATTCAAGTTTGTCCAAATCATGACCCCCTGGGGTAGGGTGGGGCCACAGTTGGGGATCAAATGAATACATGTACATGTATAAAGAAAAAAATCTTTAAAAATCTTCTTCTCAAGAACAGCGAAGCCATAATTAGTCATACTGATATGGAAGCATCTTCAGGTAGTGTAGTTTCAAGTTTGTTCAAATCATGATCTCCGGGGGTAGGGTGAGGCCACAACTGGCCACAGTTTTACATAGGGATATGGAATCATCCTCAGGTAGTGTTGATTCAAGTTTGTTCAAATCATGACCATCAGGGTGAGGATGAGCCACAGTGTGTGTGTGTGGGGGGGGGGGGGGGGAGGGTTCAAAGTTTTACATAGAAATATATAAGAAACAAACCTATAATTAAAAAAGTCTTCTTAAGAACAGAAAAGCTATGATTAGTTATACATATATGAAAGCATCCTCCGGTAGTGTAGATTCCAGTTTGTTCAAATCATGACCTGACCCCCAGGGGTAGGGTTTGGGCATAATGGGGGATCAAAGTTTTACATAGGAATATACAGGAAAAAATCTGCTGACGAAGAAGAGAGCCATATTGACACAGGTGATTGTTGTGGCCCACGGGCCTCTTGTTTTTCTTCTTGCCTGACGATATAATTTATAGAAATAACTTGCATAGGGGGCAGAAATATCTTATTTGCCATAGACAATCATAAACCTTAAAACTAGAAGTTCTAGAAGTTATCTCTCTTTTAACATGCACTGAATATTTTTAAACATTGGTAAAATCTAAAATTCATGCTTTTACTGATTGTTAAAGAACAAACAACAAACAAAAGTCGCCAGTGACAAGAACTTGACGACCAATTTTTGAGCTTCAGATCTACGGTCGGAGACATTTGGAATTTTTTATGCCCCGCCATGAATATGGCCGGGGCATATAGTGTTTGTCATGTCCGTCTTCCATCCTTCTGTCCTTCCGTCCTTCTGTCTGACCTTCCGTCACACTTTGCGTTTAGCTCTGTTCAAAGCTCAGTTTCAAAGAAACTATCCAAGTTATTTTTATCAAACTTCATATGCTGATAGATATTGATGAGAGCTATGCAACTGCATCAACATTTTTTGACCTTGACCTTTCCTTTGACCTTGACCTCACTTTTCTTAAATTAGTGTTTAGCTCAGTTTTAAAGATACCATTCAAGATAGTGTAATCAAACTTCATATGTTAATACATACTGATGTAAACTATTCAACTGCATCAACATTTTTTGATCTTGACCTTTCTTTTGACCTTGACCTCACTTTTCTTAAATTAGTGTTTAGCTCAGTTTTAAAGATACCATTCAAGATAGTGTAATCGAACTGCATATGTTGATTCAACTGCATCAACATTTTTTGACTTTGACCTCACTTTTCTTAAATTAGTGTTTAGCTCAGTTTTGAATCAAACTGTCGTAAGACGACTGGTTCCTAAGTTGGAGCAACTATAAATACAAGTTTCATTTGTTAAAATTATACTTTTCTACATTTAAATCAATTATTTATTTCAAACATTGACAAATATCACATGGAATTTCTTATTGTACACCTACAAAAGTCTACATACAATTTTACTTCCAATATAAGTATACCTACGCTAAAACTTTCATGAGAGTAGGATGATGCATATTTAAAATATAACAGATTTATTTATTTTATCGAATATTCGAATATATTCGAATACTTTCATTGAATATTCGAATATGAATTATTGACAAATTGACATCCCTAGTTTTGAATTAAACCATTCAAGATATTTAAAACAAACTTCATATGCTGATACATACTGATGAGAACTATTCAACTTCATCAATATTTTTTACCTTGACCTTTCCTTTGACCTTGACCTCACTTTTCTTTAATAAGTTTTTAGCTCAGTTTTCAAGATACCATTCAAGATAGTGTTATCAAACTTCATATGCTGATACATACTGATGAGAGCTATTCAATTGCATCAACATTTTTTGACCTTGACCTTTCTTTTGACCTTGACCTATCTTTTCTTAAATTAGTGTTTAGCTCAGTTTTGATTAAACCATTCAAGATATTTTAAACAAACTTCATATGCTGATACATACTGATAAGAACTATTCAACTTCATCAATATTTTTTACCTTGACCTTTCCTTTGACCTTGACCTCACTTTTCTTTAATAAGTTTTTAGCTCAGTTTTCAAGATACCATTCAAGATAGTGTTATCAAACTTCATATGCTGATACATAATGTTGAGAGCTATTCAACTGCATCAACATTTTTTTACCTTGACCTTTCCTTTGACCTTGACCTCACTTTTCTTTAATAAGTTTTTAGCTCAGTTTTCAAGATACCATTCAAGATAGTGTTATCAAACTTCATATGCTGATACATAATGATGAGAGCTATTCAACTGCATCAACATTTTTTGACCTTGACCTTTCCTTTGACCTTGACCTTACTTTTCTTAAATAAGTGTCAAACTTCATATGCTGATACATACTGATGAGAGCTATTGAACTGCATCAATATTTTTTACCTTGACCTTTCCTTTGACCTTGACCTCACTTTTCTTAAATTAGTGTTTAGCTCCGTTTTAAAGAAACCATTCATAATATTTTTATCAAACTTCATATGCTAATACATACTGATGTAACTTTTTCAACTGCATCAACAATTTTTGACCTTGACGTTTCCTTTGACCTTGACCTCAATTTTCTCAATTTGTGTTAAAATGTTGCATTACTAATATACCCTCGGCGGGGCATTCATGTCCTATGGACATATTTCTAGTTTTATATATTTTTTTATATTTTTTTTTGTTTCTTTTGTATGGTGGCATATTTCTGCGCCCTACATGCAAGATAAATTATGTCAACATGCAAGATAATTAATTATGTCTACATGCAAAATAATTATGTTTTCATCAAGTTGCCAATCTTTTTAGAGAATCTGATTGGCAAATTTACTTAACTTACTAAAGCCAGTCCCTGACATCATAGTAGTAGTAGTACCTTTATTGGCGTATACATTGCATATATTGCCACAAAAGTATAACATTAGTTTTATAATATAAACATTGGTCAACAGGTGTTACACAGGTGCTTTATAACATAACTTGAAATATTACGAAAGCCTAGAAGGTACAAATAAGAAAATAAAAAAAATTTAAAAAGTCGTAATAACGAGATAAAAAGTCGTTATTACGAGATAAAAAGTCGTAATAACGAGATAAAAAGTCGTTATTACGACTTGCTTAAGTCGTAATAACGACTTTTTATCTCGTTATTACGACTTTCTTAAGTCGTAATTACGACTTTTTATCTCGTAATAACGACTTTTTATCTCGTAATAACGACTTTCTTAAGTCGTAATAACGACTTTTTATTTCGTAATAACGACTTTTAATCTCGTTATTACGACTTTCTTAAGTCGTAATTACGACTTTTTATCTCGTAATAACGACTTTCTTAAGTCGTAATTACGACTTTTTATCTCGTAATAACGACTTTTTATCTCGTTATTACGACTTTCTTAAGTCGTAATAACGACTTTTTATCTCGTTATTACGACTTCCTTAAGTCGTAATAACGACTTTTTATCTCGTAATAACGACTTTCTTCAGTCGTAATAGCGACTTTTTATCTCGTAATAATGACTTTTTATCTCGTTATTACGACTTTTTAAATTTTTTTTTTATTTTCTTATTTGACCCTTCTAGGCTTTCGTAAAATATACATATATGAAGAACTATCCAGCAGTATCTCCTATTATTAATCTTGCTTTAGAGTAAAGTTTTCCCTCTTTTTAAAACATTCAAACACGTATTTCCCAAGTTTTTTAAGTACCTATTCTGAGTCGGAATTAAGTAATTCAATTAATTTTACCATACTAGGTCTTGCGTAAAAATATTTTTTTAATATATTTTTCTCTTAACTCAACATAAAACTTGCATATTAAAACAAAATGATATTCGTCTTCTATTTCGTTAGATGTACAAAATACACATTTTCGTTCACTTATAAGACATTTTTGCTCATATTTACCAGACTCAATACGTAAACAATGTGAAGATAATCTGAGTCTACTAAATGCTTTTCTATGTTTTTCATAATATATACAATTGAGATATTCAGCCTGGTGCATAGTCGGGTTTAGATATTTAAACAATCTTAGAGGATGGGCATTTTCTATCTCTACTTTTAGTTTTTGAAAAAAACAATCAGCCTGCCTTTGTTCAAAATAAACATAAAATACCTTTTCATTTACTGACTCGGGAAAATACCATACATCGCCAAAACCATGTGATAAAAGTGTCTGCTTAACAAAAATGATCCAATTTGTAGACATCTTCTTAAAATCATAATTATAAATTGACCTTATAAGACAATTTTCTGATCGAAGGACTTTAAACCAATATTTAATAATGCGAAATGTTCTCGTTACTATCAACGGTTTTCTTCCTAATTCCCCATAAACAGCCGGGGTACATGTTGAGGTTTTAACTCCCCTTTTATATGCAAGATACAACATCTTTACGTTGACATGCAACTTATTTATGTCGACATGCGATTAATATGCAAGACATGTATGTCGACATGCAAGATAATTGTGTTGATATGTATCTTATTAAAGTCAACATGCAAGATTATCATAATAAGTCGCATGTCAACATAAATATCTAGCAGGTTGACATAATTAACTTGCATGTCAACAAAAATAATAAGTCCCATGTGTATATAATTATATCATATGTTGACATAAATAAGTCGCATGTCTACATAATTAAGTCAAATGTTGACATGCCACCCCCCCCCCCCCCCAATACCAACAACCAAAAAAACTTCGGATTAGAGTCGTCTCACCATTGTCAAGAACTTTTGATCAGGGAAGAAGCAAATCTACGCATTATATATTGATGATTCATGGGACATCCACCTGAATAAAAGAATAAGCTCGAGATCAGTTGATACAATATGCAGTATGGGAGACGAACTTTACTTTTCTGTCCAAATTTATTAATGGAAACCTGATCAAAAGTCGATTCAAACTTTTATCTTATACATGAAACACTGTGACACTGTTGAGAAAAACTGATAAGGATTTAAGGACCCTCTCTACACCGTTGCAAACTGTTTTTTGGACATTGAGAAAAATATATTGTATAAAGGTGTTAATATTGAGCTTATCTATTTAACTTTCACTATATGATACGTGGCATTTACCCCCAGGAAAAATGTTCAAACACAACACAGTATCAGTGAATAGAAATCACTGCTGTTTACTTCCATAGAGACAATACATGTAAATAACATGTTCAATTTACTTATCTTGGCCTATATATATATAGGCATATATACATGTCTATTAACAAGCACATGCATGCACTTAAATTAGTGTCATAATTTTGGGCATTGGAAAGTACGTGTGTATAGCATGGCTAAATAATTGTTTAATTAACTATGCATTAAAGTTTACGACATATCCTGTTGTGAAATAAAGCTGTTAAAAGTGCTTAAATTACACTACATGCCTTCCAGGTTCCATATGTAAAATACAAAGGAAACAATGGTACAATTTACTTTATTTACAAGCACCAAGAACATGCATTAAATTATAAATAGTACGATTTTAATTCCAAATCAAGACCCTTTTGAACACACGACAATACACAATTATTAAACAATGCATAAGTATGATACGTGTATATCTATATTCACGAATGTAATAATAAGTAATATACAAATTTAATTTACGAGTAATTAATTAAGCCTAAAAGCTGCATGGATGAATGGGGGAAATAGTTCATTATCATATAGCTCTTAAAAAATCATTCTTTCGGCTTTTACTCATATCAGAAAAAAGATAACGTAGCACTATGCAAAAGAATGCGAACAGCAGCGTAAACATTAGTAAATGGGACGTGTATTTTGGCGGCGCGACGGTTGTTCCAGTTCACTGCTTCTGTGTACATACAGAAAACTCTTTGTACAGTGAACGTTCATGCGGTTATGAGAAGGTTGGATCAAACTAATTTTATCCCATGAAAATATTCGTGATTAGATTACTCATAATAACAATGCAATAAAAATTCAATAATAAAACACATTTGCTTGTAATTAACATGTGTTTCTTTTTATATGCAAAATAGTGGGAGGTCGGACGAAATCATTATTTCGGAATAGGGGTGTACCACTTTCATTAAAAAAATATCCGAAATTTCCAGCCTCAAACCAGCTATTTCACACTTGCATTTTATTCTGATATAAATTTCTTTCCTCTGTAATAGATAAGTCTGTAATTTTGTTTCAAATTGAATCATAAGTATATTGCTGATAACCTGTCCACCCCTACTTATGTACACTCGTCTAGCTTCCTGTCAACTCACTGTGTGAATGGAACATGGCGGAGATGGAAGGTAGTACATCTCACGGAGAAGGAGCCTCGGCCGATATGGCGATCGCATCGCCCTCCATTTCAGAATCAAGTGAAGCAGCTAGTTCAGGAAAATCGGAGGATGAATTATTTGAAGTGGAAAGAATTGTAGGGATGTCCAAAAATCGGGTAAGTGCATGCGCGCGAGTTCCCTGCTGTGATTATGCACTAGAGCTCTGTATACAAAGAGAAACAGGTGCCCCCGGCAATGTATGAAATAGTTGTATATCTAGACCGGCTAAAAAAGGAAAGAAGTATAAACAAATGGTTAGATATCACAGACTTTTATGGTTTTGATAGCTTTCATAGAAGAGAACAAGCAGACTTAGAAACCCGGAAACCTTGCCCCTGAAAGACCTAACGTAGGCGTTCCTGATTTGGTGCGATGACCCCCGTCAAAGCGGGCACGTCCCGGCGCGTGCACGTCTCGTAACGATATAAGGAAATAAACAAGATTAAGAGTATGGCATTTGCATGTATATCTGAACACTTATGTACAGCTAAGATCGTATATTAAAACCCACACCCTTGGAGTCGGGGAGTCTAACCACAAAAATGTGGACACCTCTTTGATTACATTATGACTCAGTAGTAACACACTTCTATAGGACCTTTTGATGACCACTGCATTGACAGTGAGGGTCATTTTTACTTTTGTGAGAGAAATTCTCATACATCCATGTGGCAGGATATTAATATTTTATTACTGAAGTGCAGTTGTTATTAAAATTATTAAAACTTGTGTTTATGAGAAAGTGAAAGGTTTAACTGTAACAAGGCTTATAAACATCCTGTTTGACTTCATTATGAACCTCTATTGTTTCCGTGTTCTTTGTTATAGATTGTTACTAAGACTGTGATTAATTCACAGATGGTATTCAGTTCAACTTTTCAGATTCATGTGCTTCAAGTGTTATTCAAAGAAAGGATAAATATTCATGAATTATTCATTTGTCATATGTAAAGTACACATACTCATTGACACACATGGGTTTTACATGTTTATTGAATATTATTCCTGCCTACATATAACGACAGTTACGAGCTAGCACTGCGGGTACTGTACAAAAGGTCATTGACCTTAATCAACTTAATGGAAGTCCCTGCATAATAATTTCTGTTAAATGTACTACAGTCTATTATGCTTCACAGAATTGGGATTTTATCATGTGAAATGGAACGAGGTCATGTTTTTGAGACAGATATATGTATATAGGTCAGTGATCTTCTCTGGCAGAGTGCCAAAGGTCACAAGGATGTAGGAATTTACTGTGCTGGTTTATCCTTATAAATGTCTTTCTCATAATGTAAAAAAGTCATGGGAGGGAGGCTGTTCCTAACTCATTGATTTCTTCCAGGAAGATGTTTATTTGTATATTATGTAAACATCTCTTAGATGTAGTATGATAGAAACGTCATATTGAAATTTTTTCCATTTATGTAAAAAGCATTTTGCTTACGATATTTTTTTTCATCCCAAAAATGATGATGTAAATTATTTGTATACAACAGATATCAAATTTGAAGGGAGAAAAGAAAGAATGTTTAGATGTGCGATCTATCAGCTTACACATTCAATTCTTTGTAAATTCTTTGAAAAACTTGTGTCCTAATTATCATGACACTACCTTTAGTTAACACTAAACACATGTATGGTATGTGCCATGTGACATAGACCCTCACAGTGGATATAGACCTTTTGTGTTGCTGTATGAAGCTGTGGGTATTGATTGAAATTATAGAGTTGCTAACTCTGTGTGCTAGTAAGACTTCCTCCTGATGAACCCGAGGCCTCTGTATCACTCAAAGGAAACCAGTGTTTGTTGTTTTTTTCCTTCACTTGTCTAATGTGCTGCTTAAACAAGGTCAAATTGCATGTAATGCTTATCCCTGGGGTCATGTGCATATATATAGCTATCATGATGGCATCTTGGACTAGGAAAAAAAACATGACATATATCAGAGGCTTTAAGAAAAAGCTAATAAAGGAAATACAGATCTAATTGTATGCATATATTTTGATAAGTATAATGCTTCTATGAGTGTAGCATCTGTGATCAATGAAAATTGTACACATGTATTACCTCAAATAATATTGATTCTCAGTTACATTTAGTAATATATCATATTGAAGGCCTAGATTATATTAATTTTTACATTGAAGTCAGGAGATTAACTGCTGTATTTTAACTTTTGTAGGGTAAAACATTGTACAAGGTGAGGTGGAAGAACTATGGTCCAGCAGATGACACCTGGGAGCCTGTTGAAAACCTCCAGTCATGTCTAGACATGGTGGAAGATTACCAGGCCAAGAAGGAAGAAGATAGAAAGAAGAGGGCAGAGGAAAGGAAGAAAAAAATGGTGAGAGAAACAAGAGAGAGAGAGAGAGAGAAATAGAGAGAGAGAAAGTGAGGGAGAGAGTGGAGTTTATGACATTGAGTTATTACCAGTCTGTCAGGCTGTTGAGAGAGGATGTATGGTGCCAGTAATTTAAGAAGAGACTGGGTCACAGCATGAAGTAGGTTCCCCAGACAGCCGATAAAACAGCACTCTAATGCATTATATAGGAAGTGCATATTAAGATATCTAAATAGAACTGAATGATGAGGTGCTTGATAGTACATATAAACTTCTGAATATAAAGTACAGGCTATAATGAATGGGTTTATTTTATTATGTGTATAGGCTCAAATGGAGGGGAGGAAACTCTCCACAGAGGATGAGGATTCCTCAAGGGACAGTACTGATGCCATCAAGCCAGTGTCCACATTCAAAAACACATTCTGGAAAGACCTTGAGGAAGGACGTGTCAACCTGTTTTACACAGACATGTACTCCAAGGTCAAAGGGGGAGGTCGGGCTTCAAGGCCAACTTGTCTCAAGGACAGACATCAGAATATTAAATCTGAGGAAAGTAAACCCCAGAAAAAGAAGAAGAAGCTAGCTGTCAAAAAGGAGGTCAAAACAAAGGAAAGGGATAAGAAGAAACAGGTCAGCCTGCCTTTTTTGTCCAGAGAGTTTGTAACATCCAGTGAAGATGAAGTCGTGAATAGTGACTATGAGATTGTTAAAAGTGACACATTAAGTTCACCAGAAGACAAATTAAAACAGGAAAATTCAGATTCCTCCAGTGAAACTTCTGTCAGGATGCCAGTTCTTAAAATTAAAGTGAGTGTAAAATCAGTTTAGTTTTGTGTAATGATATTCTGCATGCAGTTGTATTATCAGATTTTAAATGAATTCTGGTTTTCAATTTTGACAGAAATTAAAGAGCAGTGAAGAGAGGAGTGACAGTAATTCAGAAAGTGAGTGTTTACTTCATCGCCTCACAGCTGACCTCAAATGAACTCTGTGTGCTATAATATACACAGGCATATATATTATGTAAATTTATTCATGGAATCGGGAGATGTTTAAATGTTTACCTAGCTTTCTGAAACTGAATGAAGATTTTTCAAGCAAATCATCAAAAGTTTTGCAAGTATGTGAAATGGAATTTTATGATTCTTTAGTTATTTCTTATTTTTTAACATAATTGCATTTTTAACTTTACGTAGATGAAGATGGAAAAGAGAGAAAAAATACCATGAAAAAAGTAAAGAAAGAAAAACATCAGAAATCAGACAGTGACAAAAAAATTAGAATGAAAAAAAATAAAGTTGAGGTGAAAGTGAAGACAGAATTAGATCAGTTTGATAATAGTGTAGATAAATCGGAATCAAAGGTAGACAACATAAAGACAGACTCATCGGAGAAACCTCCCAGTCCAATCAAATCGTACTTATCAGGGGGAAGCACTCCTCCTAGGAAGTTATCCTCTGGTGACTTGCCAAATAAAACTCCACAGGCTACTAGCACTCCGGATGGGAAATCTGAGAAAGAAAGTCAGGACTTAAATTCTGTTGGAGTCAAGCGAAAGCATGGCGGATCTGAGACTGATTCATTTTCACAGTGTAAGATATCTAAAGTTAGACGAGATTCGGGTCAGACATCTCGAGACAGTGGACTCGCGAGCTCTACCAGTAGTGTCAGTAGTGTGGAGTCTGATCGTAATAAGTCGACTCGGAGAAAGGACTCGGCTAATTCTATGGACTGTTCACAGCCTCTAGATGACTTATGGAGTGGATCTCTTCTTCCTTTGTTGCCAGAAAGCACAAAAACACAGGAACGAGGTACATACATTTTGTTACTGAATTACAGTGAACCTCAGGGTTATAATGTCTGTTTTCTGTGGGTGTGTGGACCACTTTACTAGTCAGCAAAGTGATATATTTGCCATGCCTATGTAGTGATATATGAAAAGAAAGTTAGTTTCCGTCCTTTGTTTCTAAAGGATGACACTGGGAAATAAGAAATTTTTAGTTTCATATTCATTGATTTTATAGCTTTAGATGTTCACACCATTTTGATATACATAAATCCACTAAAGGGAACCATTTCCAATAATGAATTTCCTTGCATTTTTCAGGGGCAGATCTAAGTTTTGACATTGAGTTAGACGACATTGATTTAGATCAACTAGATAAAGAAACCGTAAGTATTCCACAAAATAGTGGCACTGTTGCCACGTGAAATGTTGGTCATTTTTACTCCTACATTGATAACATGATAAGGATCTTGTCTATGGTAACGAATGAACCAAGTGTACTTGATTTTGGAGTAGTGGGAATGAACATGCATGTAAATTTGTTGAATGAAAGATAAATGTAGGTTAGATAAAGGAGAAAATGTCAATGGCATGAGTAAACTTTCATTGACCTTTTTATACCAAGATGGACAAAAGTAGAATTTTTGCTTAATCACCCACATATTGTTTATGAATTTCTTGTGATACGAAAAGCTTGTTTGTCTTGTTGTGGTTGCATGTCAGAAAGTGTGCAGAAGTGGGTGAAACGATGTGCTATGTATTGATCAGCTAGCTCGCACGAGACATTTATCTCTACTCAGGCTAGGGGCTGATCTACTGTTGCTGGGTTCAGGAGAAAACCGGAAGATATACCACTGATGTAAGAGATTATTGATGGGCAATGTATGAAATAGCTGAAAATGAATGAAAATTGGCAGGGAGAGGGGTGATCAAAAGAGGAGGGGGGACTAGGTCATTGAATGATAATGTCACAGTAGCTGTCTGATCAATACTATCTGAATCCATAAATTAAAACTATTATGTCATTTGAGGAAACATTGTCAGATTTTTAATTTTTCTTTGTTTGCTCTTACTTTTTCTTTTAACAATGCTGGCAGCTGCTATGTCAAATCCATTCAGTGGACGGTTTCCATACAACATACCATACAGAATACATTTCAGTTCATTGCTTAATGTTTTCACAATTGATTTTAAAAGTTAGACAGCAGGCATTCTAGCATTCTTATTTGTTGTACAGATGAACTCGCAATGTTGATAATATTGGTATTTCAAATTTATAAGTGCAGCAAGGAGAGCAATACTTTTTGAACACTTCTCAGAAACAAAGAATGTCTTCAGATTCCTTGTAATATGTTCATGCTGTTCAAAGAGCATGCCACAGAAAAACAAAATTTTCAAACCATTGTGAAAGTTTAAGTACATGCTAATGATTATTTTAGAGGCTAAGTTGAAATGTTTTTCATGAGCGCATTTAACTTCATTGGTGGCTGAATGTTAGAGATGTGGTTAAATTTCATGGGGTCACTCCGAACAGATATGACACATGTTTATCATTGGGCTTGATTGATGGATGTGTGGAATGATTTATTTATACCATAACAGTGGAATCCATTTACACTGCACTCTATAAATATAGTTTACATATTATCAGAAGAATGCCTCTATTGACATACTTTTCCCGAATCTTCCCAGACACTTAAAATATGCTATGCTGAATAATGGGAGCACCAGGTAATAATTAAGGAGTATGTGACCAGGGTAGCTGGGTGAGTGACCCGGCATTGGACCATTGCCAGACTCTTGGTAGTCCACCCTCTTTGCATCTCTGCCAAGAAACTCAGCATCTTTAAAGTCTATAATAGTGCCACAGATTCACATTGGTTGTCGATTTGTTGCCAATAAATTGATGTATTTGTGGGGGTCGTGCTGTTCTCTTGTCTTGTGTATTGAGGTGTGTCTTTACAGAGATTAATGATGATTACATGTGAAGGTCATTAACCACCTTTACCTGTGTGTATTGCTACATACTCTGGTCAATCACCGATACACTGATTTATAAATGAATATATCACCAACAAGAGGCTCCATTAGGGCATGAAACATTGCTGTGCATACATTAACTGAAAATTATTGTAAAAGTGTGATGAATTACTCTCTAAGTACTTTTAAGAATTTGAATTACCTCTCTAGCTGGGGATATATAATGTTTCTGAGTTTTAACATGATAAATGAGAAATCCAGGCCCTAATGTTTTGTGCAGACAGCAAATGTAAACAAAAGAATGACATTCAGTTATAAACATATATTAAATAAGCATGTTTGTTAATGCTGTCGTAAATTTTAAAAAGGGAGCGGTCATATTGTACATGCTAATCGTGACACATTTATTTATTCAATGTCTCCTCAACAGGTATTTTTTCTTCCTTGCCAAGTATCTCACAACTGAAATAACAAAATCTACCAACTTATTTGTCATTTTGTGTATGTACACTTTGCATATTCTATAATTATACCTATTTAATTTATATAGTGGTTTGACATTGTATTGCGGTTTGGTTGTGGTTAAGGATGGTCAAAACTCTGTATTTAAATAACCACCAGAAAAATATTTGGGACAAAGGTCCATTGGTCCAGATATGAATAGGACTTAGTTAAACACTTCACCCTTTCTATTTGTAAGAAATTTAAGGAGGAATGGGACACATCTTTTATAGTACAATTATAAAAGGCCATTTTATGATGCCTTTCAGTGTGTTGACATTTCTCATGTCTTAAAAGAAAAGCAATTTGAAGAATTTGGTCAATCTGAAATTAATGATAATTTCAGCCATTAGGAAATGATAATGCTTTATCTATCATCTCCAAGTTTTCTGTTCCTCTTTTGGGTTTATGTTCATATCTTTGATGACCTGGAGGATTTGATAGCTTCAGTATATAGGTTAATGAACGTCTTTTGTGTTCTCAGATATATTGTAATGTTGATAATTAGCTAAGACACCAAAAAATCAATAAGTATGATATGTTAAGGGTTATTGACCAAGTGTCATTGAACCCTCTTTTCTGAGCAACATGCAGCAGTGTAGTACAAGCATAACTCACAATATTGCTGATGTGGGCTTCCCTGAGTAAGAGGAAGAGAGGAAGCCTAGTTTTAAAATCAATAGACGTGTTGTTTTTCCAAGCATGGCATCAGCTCTGCCATTATCTTAGACATTTCTGCCAATATCAACAGTGACCTGTGGGTGTCTGGTCATTGCCTGAGGAGGTTAGATTCAGAATTTATTAATGGCATCCATCTTGTTACTAGAATTCATGGCATTCTATAGAAAAAAAAAGAGTGCACAACATTCACATGTTGATAAATAAAAAATGAACAGATATTTTTAGGGTACGTCTATAGGTTAGAGTGTTCTAACCTATTTAGTTTGTGACATTTTTTTTTAAGAAGTGCATGACTTGGTTTGATGAACAGTGGTTTTGAACTTTATGATAATGTCATATTGAGGTTTTTACTTCACTTTTTGACAAGACATGACTTCTGAGTAAACATTTACATAAATATTCAAATGACAATTTGAAATACAAAGAACTGCATACATATAGTATATAGTGACTGAATCTAAATCCCCTAGTATAATGATAATTTTCTTGCATATAATGTCTTCTGTTTACTGTATATAATGCACAAATTATGTATGTGGGTTTTCCATTTCTTCTGTCATTATGTTTTTTTCATGTCATGTGTCAATATAAATGACCTGTTGAGATAATTTAAATGTTATAGATGAAATCAACTATCAGTATCCATGGTATCTTGAGAAAATTAATGGAATTTTTTTATTATTATTATTTTGCAGGACAGTGAAGTTGATGCTATAGTCATAACCGATGGTAAGTTCTAGAAGATTATAGTTATTGTACAAATATGAGGACAACATATGATTTGCTGGACCTGAAGATGAAATTGTTGCCTGAAGCTGAAGTTTGAAGGCAACAGTTTAGTCTGAGGGTCCAGTTTGTTGTCTGACTTGCAGTCAATGACCTTATTAATGCTAACAGACAAACTGTAAAGCAGTGAGTTATAAATCCCACTAAATGCACACAGAGCATGGGTGCTAAAATCCAGCTGTACATGTACGATAGAGAAGATGGTCTTTTAATAAGTATTTGGTATGTATGCATTTACAACCATGTTTTTCTATTTTGACAGGGAAATTCCAACAAGCAGTAACAGAGGGGGACTACCAGGCTGTGCGGAGTGCCCTCAACAGCAGCAAGAAATACGATGTGGAGGCTAGGGATGACCTTGGAATCACGCTGCTTATGTATGCGGCTCAAAGTGGTTCGTATTCGCAAGTATTATTCTGCCTGAAGACGAAAAAAATAGTTTTTATTTGAATATTTGATCAGAGTTCCTCTGTAGTAGATATGAAGGAGATTTATGTAAGCAAGTCTTTTACAAGACTTTAAGCAAGAAAGAGTTTGTAATAAAAAAAAATTCTCAACTACCCGGTAGATAAAATGTATGTTTTAATCAGTTCAGATGGTTTTATCACCTGTGTAGGGTTGTACATGTAAGTTTTGATCTGTAGAAACTGTTTTATCACCTGTGTTGAGCTTATATGAGGCTTCCATCTCTGTTGTAGGTTTTGATGATATAGCAGAGTTATTGGTCAGTAACGGAGCTGATATCAACGCTCAACAGAAAAACGGCACAACTTCTCTCATGTTGGCCTGTGAACATGTATGTCAATTTAATTTAAAATATATCTTGTTTGTATAAGAACTTACTGATTTCTTTGAAATAGAACTTATACTTTATTGTTCATTACTCTCACCAAAATGAGAACAAAACGGTAATTCATTAAATTCTAAATCATCTATATAGATCTCTCATGGTTTGTGTGTTTATTATCCACGAGCATTAGCAAGGGGATAGAAAACACACAAGTTGGATAAAAATTATATCCCATCACAAACCATGGGAGATTCTTTTTATCACATATCTTACAAAAAGTTATTACATATTTAACACCATTTTTAGCTCACCTCAACAAAGTTGGGGGAGCTTATGTAATGGCGTCGGCGTCCCAGGTTAAGGTTTTTGGAGCAGTTTTCTTTTCAAGTACTTCTATGGCCTATATTAGTCAGAGATGCATGGAGGATGCTTCTAGTGTGCTTCATTGTACCAGTCAAGGTTTCAGATGCTGCAATTTCAGCTAAAGAATGACCAGGTTAATGTTTTTGGAGCAGGTTAAAGTTTTTGGAGCAGGTTAAAGTTTTTGGAGCAGGTCTCATTTCCAAGTAACTATAAGCCCTATATTGACCAAACTTGCATGGATGATACATCTAAGGATGCACACTACTGAACTTGCTTCGGATGCTGGATCTGACCTACATTTTCCGGATGAGTGACTATTTTAAGGTTTTTGGAGTAGATCTCATTTCCAAGTAACTATAAGCCCTATATTGACCAAACTTGCATGGATGATACATCTAAGGATGCACACTACTGGACTTGCTTCGGATGCTGGATCTGACCTATATTTTCCGGATGAGTGACCAGGTTAAAGTTTTTGGAGCAGATCTCATTTCCAAGTAACTAAAAGCCCTATATTGACCAAACTTGCATAGATGATACATTTAAGGATGCACACTACTGGACTTGCTTCGGATGCTGGATCTGACCTATATTTTCCGGATGAGTGACCAGGTTAAAGTTTTTGGAGCAGACCCCATTTCCAAGTAACTACAAGCCCTATATTGACCAAACTTGCATGGATGATACATTTAAGGATGCACACTACTGAACTTGCTTCAGATGCTGAATCTGACCTATATTTTCCGGATGAGTGACCAGGTTAAAGTTTTTGGAGCAGATGTCATTTCCAAGTAACTATAAACCCTATATTGACCAAACTTGCATGGATGATACATCTTAGGTTTCACACTACTGGACTTGCTTCAGATGCTGGATCTGACCTATATTTTCTGGATGAGTGACCAGATTAAAGTTTTTGGAGCAGATCTCATTTCCAAGTAACTATAAGGCCTATCTGAACCAAACTTGCATGGATGATGCATCAAGGGACGAACAATCTCAAAACTTGCTTTGGATGCTGGATTTGACTTACATTTTCTGAATGAGTGTCTAGTTTTAAGTTTTCAGATAAGTCCATTCCCAAGTAACTGCAAGCCCTATCAGACCAAAATTGCATAAATGTTGCATCTAGGGATGCACACTCCTAGATTATTAGTTTAGTGTGGGACTTTGCCTTACTTAAAGACAACATTCGTTGAGGTGAGCTCTGTAATCTCTGATTACCTATGTTTATTTATGAATCCACTACATCACTTTCATGCAAAAACCATTGTAATGTCACAACTTTTTGATATGAAAATGACATCATATGACTGATATCCACTGTATAAAGGAGTAAATATATGATAATTTTATTTTATTTCTTTCAGGCCCATATATGTACAGTTGCTTTACTAGTAGAACTGGGTGCTAAAATAAATGTTCAACAAGACACCGGTGAAACTGCTCTGATGAAGGTAAGAGTTTCTTCCCTTTAAAACACATCATTTATTCAGAATAGTCATTTTGGTTGGTAAAGAAACGGTTTCCGTAAGTCAGTCAATATATGCAAACTACAAGTCCAAATTTTCAATGAAAGAAATGTATCTATTTCGAGAGAAGCCACCAATTTTTTGTGAAAATGTGTTTAGATTAGTGGATATATGAATGTTGTTACTATTATAGGCTGTGATATCTTTATAAATGTTACTATTCATAGGCTGTAAAGCGAGGTCATAAGCAGATCGTGAAGTTCCTATTGGAGTATGGAGCCAATTTCTCAGCTCAGAATAATTCAGGATTTTCGGCACTCACTTACGCCAAAATGCTGCGACTCACGGAAATTGAAGACATTATCACAGAATCCATTACAAGGTAATAAGGTGGAATCATTATTTTATTCAAATAACATAACTGGAAACAGAAGTGATTTAACTTATAATTTACTGGAATTTTTTTTTTCAATTATGCAGTAGTTAATTTTATATTCATTTTTTCAAAATCATTTGCCGGGTCTTTTCTTTATTAGTGTCATTACGTTAAAGTGTATCAAATATTGTTGGTGATAAATATTGATAACTCTTAGATTCAGTAAGATTATTTATACGTATTCATATACATCTATTATCGAAAGTGCTTTCAGGGTTTGAAGCATTGATTTGATTGATCATTGATTTTTAAATGTATTTTAAACTCTGGATATCAAAAGGAGATATAAAGATGTGACATGTCTTTTAATTTGTCTCATGTACTTTAAGAGATTTATTAATAATTAGGACTTTCAATGTGTGATGGTAATGCTGTAAAATTTTTAGTAAATTTAGAAGACCCATTTACAGTTTTCTGGTTTTGTTTAACAGGCTGACTAAAGAGTTTGACAAACAGGTAGCCGTTACTCTGAACAACACGGCCAAGATCTCCAGCAGTCTGTTCCCCTTACAGGTGTTCCCTCTCTGCGAGTCCAGCAAATTCGTCATCAACTTCAAGCATGAGATGCAACCAAACACCCCAGGTAAGAGACAGGTGCAAACAAAGCCAGAGAGAGTGTACCCCTAACCTACAGAACAGTGATGCACCTGTTGCAGTTTAACTGGGTCGATTATATTTGGCCGTGATTATTAATGTAGTCAAATGCTTGAGTTGGGGGAAAAATCAATATACCTTAAAGTGGTTTATATGCTTCATTGACTGTTTACAAAAAAACTGAAAATCTGATTTCACAGAAGCCCTTTGAATGGGAAAATCAATATGTAAATTTTTAGATGAATGAGAACATTTTTTTTCTGTATCTATAATGTATTCTAATTTATTAGAATATTCACACTACATAAAATTTGAATTAAATGATGGTAAAGTCCCATTTTGGCACAAATATTTCCTATGAAGTTCAGTCACTTTACATTTGGCCTTCGTTTTTTTCTATTGATTTATTCCTAATGGAGAAATCATATTTCCTCAGATCTTAATTATATTAAAAATAGTGCCTGATGTTTAGATTTTTCTAAATCTGCACGAGGCTAATGTTATTTTGAGATGCCTTATTTATGATTCAGGAGATGTGGAGTACTTTGGTTCAGATGTTATCAAAATTTAGCCATTATATTAGGTTCCCTGTAGTTATCATTGAAGCTTGTTAGCATTTTACAAGATTAGAGAAGTGATCAGCGATATATCCATCAGCAGCCAATATACCATATATATATGTATATTAACATGGCAATGTTTCTGTAAAAGTTTTGATTCATATTTTATTTATTAAAATTGCCTAGTTTTATAACGTTGTTTCCTTACTTGCATTGACAGGTGTGGGGTATCTATTATTTATTGCGCACGCCCGAATCACGGCCACAGATTGTAAGTGTCGGTTTTACGGACCCTGTGCTGTCAACTCGGCGACACTGAACGGAGTTCCACAGCCTCCCCTGACAGAGGTAATTACAATAGTTTGTGGTCATTTATTGATTTTTCCGAGTTCCGCACAGTCAACATATGTATTGATTAAAACCCTGTATTGATTTCTTGATATGCACTCATTAGCATGTTATTTGATTAGGAGGCTGTTCTAATAACCTCTGTGCAGGAGGCATGTAATCAGTAATTTATCTACATGGTGAAATAAAATTACATATCTAAAATTAACTACTGATGGCGTGATATGCACTAATTACTATGTACCTAATGTCATTATGCACAGTATATTCTCCATGGCTTGAAAGCTATTACCGCCCACAACATTTTAGCTAAAGTAAGCTTTACTGATCGAAAAAGTATGTTGTCCATCCATGTCTCCCTAGCTGTTTATTCATTTGTTTTACCTGTCAAATTTTGACATTTTCAACTTCTCCTCCCAAAATCTGGACCAGTTACAGCCAAATTTGTCGTAAAGCAATCGTGATTAGAAAAGATTCATGCTTAATTTATTAAAATGTCTGCTCTTTTTCATGGGAAAATATTGAATAAAAAAATGAAAGAAAGGGTGGCTTGATATTAAATTTTTTTTCCTAAGAACAGCACCATGTAAAGTCAGTAGACACAAAATGTTTGAGGTGTATGTATCACAATGGTCATATCAATATTCTAGAGTTTTGACTTGAGCTAAATTGAATTTAGTATATGGAGACCCAAAAAAAGTTTTTAATATATTGTTTTAGACTGATACATATTGTGTATGAGTCGAAAACAATATATTGAAAAACAGCTTATGGAGACAAAAGGGTTACATTATCAATAACATACAGTGCATATTAGAATACAAAAATAGGAAAAAGGTGACTCAACCCCAGATTTAAAAAGAAAAAAAAATGGAAAGGTGGGGGGTCAATACCCCAGGTGCCTGTGTTACCATCATGTTTTTTTTTTTATTGAGAACACACAGTGATGCTGTTGTTTTGTTATAAAGGACAGATAAAGAATCATAAGGATTAAAATCACAATATCTTTTACACTTGTTGTTTCAGGAAGCTAACTTTGTGCTGTCATGCTGTCCTCTACAGAATGGCAGAAATGAGATTGTCATCAACACTGTGAAGGCTTCAACATCTAAGGTAGATTTTGATAGGTATCTCTAATCCAAAGAAAATGAACATTTTATTTTTGAATTTTAATAAAAGTTTATTAATTTGAGACATTTTATTGATATACTGAACCTTTTTCTTTACAGGCCAAGTTAGTGATATGTGCTTACAAAGCACAGCTGATAGATGGATAAAAACCTGCTCCTAAAAAATCCCAGTGATCTCAAGTTTGCCAAAGTCACAACTGGTACTCTAAACTGGTACTCCATTCTTAGATCTCAGCCACCACACCACTATGGTAGCCATAGCTACAGTCATCTCCATGGATATGATGTTGCCATAGAAATCAGTACAGTTACATCATTAGTGTCATCCCTCATTTCTGACTGCTAAGGCGTTATGCATACAATATATATATATGGTAACTAGATGATAATGCAAGGTTTATAAAACTTTATAAAATATTTTGTACATTTTGAGAACTTAAGTATGGATGTGTTGTATTAGTTAACCATCATAAAGATATATATTTGTTGATGTGGGAACTGAGCAGAGTAATTCTAGCCATTGTCTGAGGTACCTCCCTCCGTTGGTAGGTGTTATACAGTTCTGAGTTTATTATGTTAATACATTGTTTCTGCCTGTTCAGTAGCTCAATAATGGATCTATTATTTATGTTGATAAATCTGCAGAAAGATGCATGTTGATAAACCTGCAGAGAGATGCATGTTGATGTTGAAGTCTGTAAATTAGTGCTAGATTATAGGTTACTCAAGATATTGGGTTAGGGGAGGTAACTCTCTAGATTGACAGGGGATGTATAAGGACTTGTTTTACATGGTTGTGATTGGAAGTGTGCAGTTTGGATTCAGGTAATTGTCGTTAGTAAATGAGGGTTGCTTGCTTAGTGGATGTTTGTGTGGTAGTTGTGTGACTGTGTAAATAAGAAGTATGTAGCTGCTCTTAAGGAGTTTCTCTGTTTCAAGTATTTATCGTAGATTGGGCAGCTTTATTTTAAGATTGTTTTGTCAAATGGTCAGAATTGGGTGATTCTTGAGAGGGAAATTCTGACATATGTTTCATGAAATATTAAGCAACTTCCTTTTCTAAGTAATTTGAAATATTTTCTTGTGGACTTGATCCTTTGTAAGATCTTTAGAAATGGATTCCAAATTTTGAATGTTACAATTATACACAGATAGTGGAGGAATTGTTTAAGATAATCAGCAGGTTTTGCTGGTGACCAAATTCTATAATGTTACACTGTTTGTAGTTGATTTGTTGTTTTAACTGATAGTTATATTTATGCAGTGTGATACTGGATTTTATTGGTGCTTTTTTGTGTTAGTTTGGTTCCCTTCCCTTTTGTTGCTGGTAGAACTAGTTATTGTGTACACTGAATGTAGCAGCAAGAACTCTGTTGACAAGAACATATGAGAATGCTTGTCTGCTTTAAATTTTGAGTTGTCTCTGCATGATTAGTTGACCGAGTGAGAGCATAATGAGATACCTCAGCAATTTAATCATCTAGTCATATGAAGTCTATGAAGATATTAAATATGTGAAAATGTATACTCCAGTGGAATTTATATACATGTACTTACGTCCATGTCTGGTATTACATAAATGTCTGGTATCTCGATATTACTGTGAATCTAGTGAGATCAATTCATTAAGATGAATAATTCTGATTTCTTATTTGAAAAAGATGTCATTGTGTTAAAAGGAAATACATTGTACAATGCAAAATTTATGTGGTTATAAATTACAGGGCATACACTAACAACATATCCAACACAGTTTTTTAATGTTTTACTCAGAGGCCACAAGATAATATGTACCTGTACAAAGAAGTAGTGTATGATATATATACATGTATGTGTTAATAATAGCAGCGTTTATAACTGTGAATATTATGCCTCAAGGGATTGTATATAGGGCATGTAAATCTCCCTTTAACAGTGTCATTCTGTTGTGTAAAAATTAGTAAAATTGTTGTTTAAATCCCATTATTGTTCATAAAATGGTTTTTAAATAAAAATGGTATTTGTGTATCCCCCCTTCAACATTTAGAACATAATACAAACAGAAGTTTCATTTCACAAAACCAGTCACAATCTGTGAGACCATTGTCAGTCTATTACTATTCTTACACTGGGATCGTAATCCTGTTATTACATATTACTGTTACATTTTATTACATGTTTATCCCTATGTGTTTCAGTATTGTCGCTCAATATGTTACAATGGCATTGCATTGATATAGAAGCGCACATTTATTACACAGTGGTAAGGAAAAAAAACAATGTTCATCAATTAAAGCCTATTTTGATTGTATGCAATATTTAGATAACTATTTATATAAATAATTTTTATACATGTATATTAAACATTATATCACAGTAGAGCCAGTAATACATTTTGTAAAAATGCATTATTTGTCAGAATTTTTACTCAGACTTTGAGAATATGGGAAAGAGTGGAAAATATTATATTTCATAAAAATCATTACTTTTTATGTGCTGGAAAATGTTCTGCCTTTATTTTCGTCTATTTTCCAGGCCATCACCCAGGGAATTCAACGCCAAATTTATCTACATAACATGCAATACTGTAAAAGTAAATTTTAAAATAGGTATTAAAAGGTGTATTTGTATTTAGGATTGGATGGAAAATGAATGTTTGGTATAAATTTCCAAGAATATAAAAGAGTTTACATTTGTAGTATCATTAATGCTGATTACAAAGTGTCTGTAGGAAATGTTTTTACCTGTCACACCTGTACAGGTGTGGACCAGACCAGGAAAGGTTGTCAGTCTCAGCTTCCTATGTTGTATATTTGCTTTGTCTGTGTGTCTGTGTGTGATCTCTTTGTTCTGTCTACTGAATTCTATTTACTTATACATGTAACAGTAGACATTTATTCTTTATTTCTCTATTTGTAACTGCCAGGATTCTTGGCTTTATCAAGTTTTATTTAATAACAAGATTCTGTTATTAGGGATAACCCTTCAATAAATATGGACTATTACAGAGGTGGACAGAATCTTTGTTTTTGGTACATATATAAAATTAATCTTTTGTTATTTTCTCAATGAAAAATAAAAATTTAACTTGGTTATAAAATCTTGAGTTTGTGTTTTGTTTATGGAAGAATATCTGTTATGTATGTACAGTATGTCTTTCCTGCCATGTGTGATTGTATCGGGGAAGGTGAAAATGTATGGCTGGACCGGGAATCAAACCTGGGACCCCTGCATCACTAGTCAGGTGCTCGTCTGAGCTATCCACTACAGTATTCATGGTCAGTCCAATATCTATATCACAGATGATTCAGGGATTTGTCTGAAAGATGTCTAAGAAAATCTAATGCTCACATGAATTAGGGACTCCCAAAGCGTAAGGTGGATTAGAAACCTAACTCATGAAGCATGAAAAGCTCAATCAAATAAGCTGCATGTAGATGTGTATGTTGGGTAATCAGAATGTCATTTGAACTATTCAGGTCATTTTAATTTTATTAAATGCAAAGTAAAGATCAAGAATGTTATATACATGTAATTTCTTCCCACAAAAAAATCTACATGTAAATTCTGTCAACTCAACAGTAGGACAGGAACTTGAATGTTATTTTATATTTAAAGGTCATTTTGATGTAAATTAAGACATGATTAAACTTTTTGCACCCCCGTGCAATCAAAGAAGTTGCAGGAAAACCTAAACTATGCTGATACATGAAAACTTTAACTACTGGCAATTCACTAAACATAGGTAATCAGAGACTACAGAACTCACCTCAACAAATGTTGTCTTTAAGTAAGGCAAAGTCCCACACTACACTAATATCTAGTAGTGTGCATCCCTGGATGCAACATTTATGCAATTTTGGTCTGATAAGGCTTGCAGTTACTTCGGAATGGACTATCCAAACACTTTAAACTAGTCACTCATCCAGAAATTGGAAATCAAACCCAGCATCTGAAGCAAGTTTGAGTCTTCATCCCTTGATGCATCATCCATGCAAGTTTGGTCCAGGTAGGGCTTGTAGTGACTTTAGAGTGAACCTGCTCCAAAAACTTTAACCTGGTCACTCATCTGGAAAACGTTGGTCAGATCCAGCATCCGAAGCAAGTCCAGTAGTATGCATTCTTTGCTGTATCATCCATGCAAGTTTGGTCAATATAGGGTTTATAGTTACTTGGAAATGACATCTGCTCCAAAAACTTTAACCTGGTCACTCATCCGGAAAACGTAGGTCAGATCCAGCATCCGAAGCAAGTCCAGTAGTATGCATCCTTAGCTGTATCATCCATGCAAGTTTGGTCTAGGTAGGGCAGATAGTTACTTTAGAATGAACCTGCTCCAAAAAATTTAACCTGGTCACTCATCTGGAAACATAGGTCAGATCCAGCATCTGAAGCAAGTCCAGTAGTATGCATCCTTAGCTGTATCATCCATGCAAGTTTGGTCTAGGTAGGGCAGATAGTTACTTTAGAATGAACCTGCTCCAAAAACTTTAACCTGGTCACTCATCCGGAAAATGTAGGTCAGATCCAGCATAAGAAACAATTCTGGTAGTGTGCATTCCTAGATATATTATCCATGCAAATCTGGTCAACATAGGACTTATAGTTATTTGGAAATGAGACCTGCTCCAAAAACTTTAACCTGGTCATTCTTTAGCTGAAATTGCAGAATCTGAAACCTTGACTGGTACAATGAAACATACTAGAAGCATTCTCCATGCATCTCTGATTAATATAGGACATAAAAATACTTGAAATGAAATCTGCTCCAAAAACTTTAACCTGGAATGCTGATGCCGAGGGGATTACATAAGCTCCCATAACTTTGTTGAGGTGAACTAAAAACCTGCCACTTTGTGAATTTTGACAACATTTCACCTCTGGTGTCACTACCCTAAGACATATACATGTATGTAAGAACAGCCTTCAACTGAATGTCACCTATACAAATAAAAAAAAAACAACACAATGGAATTTTAATGTTTTAATGTTACATGATCCATGTACAAAAACAATGAATGATAGTATGTGCATTATATTTGTCAACTTTCAATGTCTTTGATCCTAGTGATAAAAATGGTCAAGTTTCAGAGACAATTCTCTGAAATTCCAAAGTATGACAAATATTGCTTAAAAAATATTTAGAGAATTTTGACATCTCTGTTAAAAATAAGTCCTTCCTCCTAGAGGAGCCCCTGTCTTTTGAGATCATCATACGTCTTCTTGTTAAACACATTCCCTGTTGTATCCTCATATTCTTCCTAAAAAAGTAATAAATTCTTCATAAAAACCCTGCAACTATGAAGGAAAATTCATTTAAAACTTAGTTCTCTGATGTCTTTAAAAGCTATATTGAAAACACAGACACGACCATAACTAAAGCATTAAAAAAAACCCACTTGATTTTCTGTAGTCATTTGTGGTCAAGGAAAGATTTAATAAAAACAGAATTGTATTCAAATTTGTTTTTCATTTGTTAATCAATAAATCTTGTAATATCCAGACTTTGATACAAACCTCTGTGTCTGGTTTCCACCTCTCTGACTCTTTGTTTGTCTTTATTTTTGACCATACTACAAAAAAAAAAGAAGCAAAATCCTTTAAACTATTGTAAATTAACTACAATTTGCATGATTAGTTAGTTTGAAATCCATAATGCCATTACTATTAATTTTTTCAACTGTCAGAGGTAACTTTCTACATAAATACACAAATAAATGGTTTGAGGGGGGAAATATTGGAAACTAGGGGTACTGTAAGTGAGCTCACAAAAATTTAACCCAAAATCAATTTTTGTTTTAGCTTCCAATGATTCCCCATGACAAAATTATAGACCTGACAACAATTGCACTGACAGATGCATAGAAAGCTAGGTAGACAGATGAATGGATGGACAGACACAGAAGGACCATGTGATTCCTATACCCCACAAAAACTTTGTATGCAGGGATATAATAAAAGAATATAAAAGAAATTTTTCAATCACAAATAGAAATTGTTACTTCCTAAGTAGCTTGTAACACAAGATTTGATTGGTTAGCAAGCCAGGCCCCAAGACCATAAACTGAGAACAGACTTAAGTCAAAATTTCAAATCGATATAACTTTCGAAATAATTTTGATAATAAAATAAAATTTTCATCACATGTCTGAACTGAAGCGTTTTGCACATTTGCAAATTTTTAAGCTAATGCATTGAATGAAACTTCAGATATCAAAAAATTAAAGTTTTGACTTAAGTCTGTTCTCAGTTTATGGTCTTTGGGCCAGGTGTAAATTTCCATACACCCCACTTGAGACGGGGGTAAATAATGTGAAGTCACAATGCATAATTTCTCTATCACAAAAAGCAAATAATATGATGTCACAATGCATTGTACCATGTAGTAAATCTTATCAATAGTTTGAAATGCCATTGATTGAACTTGAGTTTACAAAGAATTTACTTGGTTAAAGAGGAAATAAATTCATTATTCAGGTTCAATCAAAGGTGTGAGGGAATTTACCTCGGGTTCTATTGCATACACCCTCTGCCTTTTGCCTGTGAGTATATGGAATATAACACGGGGTAAAACCCCGTACACCCTTGAACGAACCTGAATCACTTATAGTTTAAACTAAGAACTACCCTGATTAAGATTTCTAAACATTTCAAACAAATCAATATGTTAAAAGGCCACCAAATTCTCTAGTAACTTACATGGCAATTATGAAAATATTCACAGAATCACATACAATTTTGAAAGCTTACATGTAATTCATCGAATTATGCAATTAAAACCTACAGTAACTTTGAAAACTTACATGCAAGTGCGTCTTCAATGAGTGTAACATTGGCAAAGTGGGCGGTATTGGGGATACCTAGACACCGCATTCCGTGAGCGTGTCTCCATTCCTTCAAAATCAAATAGGTGATTCTAAATAGACTCATCTTAAAACAATCCAAACTAAGCATACAATACACAGGAAAAATATGGTTCATCGCATTGGATAAAGAACATCATATCCAATTTCCAAAATTCACACTTCCAGAGAATTTTCAAAAGAAATTTGAGACTTCATAAAAATACCAGAAATGAAATACTCACAGCAAAATGTCTTTGGAAAGCTTTGGGACCCTTGTAAGTGAAGTTTCCACAAATCTCGCAGCTATAGCTGATGTTAAGACCATGTAACTTATACAACCAGTATGGAATAGGCTAAAAATATCAAGGTATCCAAAAATTATCAAAATACTCAAGTGTCTCCTCCAATCTGCTCTTTACATTTTTGAGAAATAATGCCTCATATCAACTTGGTATGAATAGATTACATCAAAATAACTATTACCAAACATATAGGACTGATACATCAAATTTACAAATGTCAGCAAAGGTTGAAAATTTTGTAACATTAAAAACACTCATTAATGTCTCAAAGAACTACCAGTACATTTAAATCATACCTTTCCATCCCAACCCAGGGGGAGATTCTTAGGGTTATATGGGATGTCGTCGTCATCATCATCAGAATCTGACTCCTCGAAATGTTCATCATCAGAGTCCTCTCTCTCCTCGCCCGTCCTGGCCTGCTTTCTCTGGACATTGTCTCGAGTGGCTGCTCTCTGCTCACTCAGGAGTTCGGAGAATCTGTATACCTGAGCCTCCAGGGAACCTATCTCCTTCTGACGCTCGGCATCTCTAGGTATCAAAAATAGAAGAATAAATATTTCAAAAAGTGCACCATGTAAAAATTTTTTAAAAATCTTAAGCATAATCCATAATCTTTATACAATAACTTACTAAATAATCACAAACCATTGCTTTTGAGTTTACAGTTCATAGGCCATGATTTTTCCATTTTTAAACTGAATAGCACCGATAGTTTGTGCCCTACAGTGTGACAATAAATTGTGAATTCTAAATGTATGGTATATACACACCTGCTTTTGCCAGCTCTGCCCGGCTTGGACTTAGCAAACATAGAAGGATCTAAATCCTCTAGATTTTTTCCTTTGGTGCTGAACAGCCGCATGGCTCTTTCCTCAAGGGTTCTGAAAAATAATTCTATATCTGCATTCTTCAGATTCAAAACATAATGTTTTCATTTGTTCATTGAAATTTTTACATGGTCTCGGAATTGCAATTTGATTTTTTTGTTTTTTACAACAGTAAAAATTGTGAGAGAATTTGAGAGAAATTGAAGGAAACAAAGCATTTTTTGTCCCTTCTAAAAAGATTATCTTTGATGCCCTCCCTAGCAATAGGGTACATGAACCTCACCCTCCACACTTGAGTCCCAGGGCCATCAATGCACTCTTTAATCTGTCCAGTCCAAGGGAAGCTAACTCCTCCCAGGAGGAGAAAGCGGACAGGTCTAAATGAGCTCCAGTGTGGGTCAGAGCACCTGTTGCTTCTTTCTGTGTAAATAAACAATGTACACAATTTGAAGAGTGGAATATACACATACATTGAAAACTGTGTGCCCTGCCTGTATGAACATTCAACAGAATGCCTTGTTTAAAAAGAATGGACAGTAAAAGATTGTAAAATAAATTGTGTACGAAATAGATCGTTTAAATGGATTGTAAATGAAGAGATATATTAATTTCTTTACACACCGGCCATCCAGGGAAAGTTCCTTCATTCCACTGCAGATCAAAGTCCACCTTCACCTTCTCCAGCTCCTACAATGTCACACATATTCTACTGTAAATAACATTTTATTTGTGAGAATATTATTTTCACTTATTTATGCAAGTCTGTCTGCTAGCGTAAATTTCATCATTTAAAATTTTTCTTACTTAAGATTATATATAACAATGACCAGGATATGGGAATATTTAGTATCGTGAAAATTAGGTGTCGCAAAAATTTGGTAATCTTTGTATAGATCTATAAGTACCCAGATAATGACCCAAATACAAGGGTGAGAAAAGTTAACATGTGTGATTCAATGCTGATTTAACATACCTGCAATATGCAATCTTATTCACCCCCTTTGTACCAATTCAGCATTGTTAAATATTATTTAAGAATTTTATTTTCATGAATAATTTTTCCAGATTGTCTCCACGTAAAAAACAGTTCTTCTTATCAGAAAATAAACAAATCAAAATTCATAATATTGAGGATATGTGATAGTGATGTCATGAAAATAACACAATACTATTGTTTTGATAACTAAAGTCTTGATTTGTACAAATTTCTCAATAGTAATAGTTATCATTAAATACCTAAGAAATTTGCCATCTTGATATTTATTACCTCACTTGTGTCAATCAAAGGTTTGACTCTGTGTAGATATCCGTCCAAGTAATCCAGTAAAAACAGCAAATACCTGAAATAAAACAATAAACAATTAGGCTTTAATAAAGTTAACAATAAGAGAAAGAAATGAACTGTACCAACAGCACCTGAGTTCCGTTATTTTGAGGAAACAATGTAATTAACCATTTACTGTCATTAAGTGACAGAGAGCTACCTACTCTTTGTATGCAGCACTTTTCTTGTCTTTGGGGATGTCAAATAATAGATCGAATGTAGACAAATACGTTAGGTAGTCCACTTTCTGAAAAATGTAAGTAAAACCAGTTAATTATTTTCTATTTAAAAAAATATATAAGGATGCACACTTTTTATCCATTTAAGCAAGTTTCACTGCATAAAGCTGATAACCCTTTTTTGTAAATAAAGTTGAAGAGTTTGTAAAATCTGAAAGCTGATGTAAATCAAAGTACTTTCAGAATGGATCTACCCACCTCTATGCCTTTGAGATTGATGAATTTTTCATAACATTCATGTAGATCTAGATATTTCCCATAGCCCTCCTCATCTGTGAACTCGGCTAAATCTAGAGGAAGTATAATGTTGTACATAAAAAAAAAAATCAAGAATTACATGTGAATTCTTACTATAAATATTTATATGGATTTCCTAAGGAGTTTAAAATCAATAATAATCCGTAACACGCCTACTGTAAAATAAATAATAGTCAGTCACACTTCTAACATAAAATAAATAATAACCATTAAAATGTCTAATCTAATTCCCTTTAATTAACTCTTACTTTGTCCCTCGTCTCCAGCATTTTCCCGTAATTTTGCCAGCTCCTCAAATTCCACAGACATTGGAACACTGATCTATAAAACAGAAATGATTTATATAACACTAGAAATATATAAAACACTAGAAATATGAATAAAAAATATAAATTGTATGCATCTGAACAGATTTCTTATGTTTTATTATTTTGTTGAAATCTCTAAAATGTGAATTTTACTAAGCCTAATATTAATTCATTGTATTGCAATAACATGCAGTAATAGATACCTAACATCTCCTACCTCATTTGGGTGTTTTCTGTGGAACTCCCTGAGCTGTTTCAGTCTGGCATAAAATTCTACGTATTCATTAGGGCCAGACAAGGCCTGTACTTCTTCCTTCCTTAATCTTTAACGGAAACATGAAAGCAAGTCAGTGAAAACTTTAATCTCCAGCTAATTTCTTCTAAAAAAATTTATATAAATCAATTGAAATAAAACCTGATTCTCATTCTATGCAAATAGAAATGAAATACATGTATGTCATCCTTTTTTATTATTTTATTAGCTGAAAGCACCAATCAATTTTTCTGATTAAAGTTGTCCATTGTACATGTGTTTGTCTCTATTTGTCAATGTTTCATACATGTATTTCAAGGTTGGCTCAAGAAGCTCTTCGCCAATTTCAACCAAATTTATCACAAAAAATCCTTATAGTATAGGGAAATTAACTTTGCTCAAATAAAGGACCATGCCAACTTTAAGGGAAGATAATTGATCCACTGGAAAAATACGGTGGACTAAATCTTCTAAAGAACTACTCTCTAAAATCTCCGGAAATTGTTCTATAGTACTACAAATATACCCTAGAAATAAATTTTCGTGAGCAGACAGTCTTGCCTAATTACACCAAAATAAAGTTTTTGCAAATAAAAAGTGATCTACAGTTACTAAAATTTATACAAATATTTACATAGATTGTGGAGGCAAAATTTCAAAATATAAATGACCTTTTAAACTTGACAATTTTACAAAGGAATGATTGTCAATTAGCCCAAAAGAGTTATCTTTCTAAAATCTTTCATAAATTCATTGTTTAGTCATAAACTAATGACGTAATTTCATGGTGACTTCATAAGTGGTTGATGTATTCAACACATTCAATTGAGGAAAAGGTAAAGCCTTTCATGGGATTAAAACTATAGTATGCAAATATTTGCTATAAATCAGTAAAATATAAACATAACTAATAAGGTACAATTTTAAAGATTTATGAAGATGTAAATACAGGTTGGTACCTAATCAAATCTACCATAATGCCCGAAGCCCTTTGGGCTTTATGGGACTTGATCACATGAATTGATCAACCCTTATCTACATCCCGATAAAAGTTTAAAAATGATAATTATTTCTTAAATGAAACTTATGCTTTTATACGCTGGTGAAACAATGATACATGTAATGTACCTGGTATGCTGAATTGCTTCATATTCAGTGACTAATAAAACTTAAACTGAACATAAAATAACAATGCCATACCCATCTTTGTCTTCGTACAGGTCTTTCAATTCATTTGTGCACTCAACGTATCGCTGAAAAATAAGGTCTTTCATGTTAGAAACTGAAATGAAAACTGATTGGAATATTAATTTACAGAAAAATAAGTTGTCCAGCAAAGTCATAATGTGCACAACTGTTACCAAACAGAAAATCTAGCATAAAACAATGCAGTTAAACTTCTTTGCTTATATATGATATTTGGAATACCATGGTTAACTTATATCGAAGTAAGTTTGAGGTTTCAACTACGTTTCCTTTATGCAATGAACCTCAGTCCCTAATGAAAGTATAATTAATAAATGATATACAGTACTTTCTACTTTGCCACACAATTTTCAATGTCCATGATTCATCTCAGAAATTCTTATAAAATAAATGTAATGACAAATCAATATTGAACTTACATCTATAAGAAGCTTCATTCTATGGTCTGAATTAATCTGCTCCCGACCCTGAAAATCAAATACTAAATATAAGTACATGTTGAGTACTTGACGTTTGTTTCCTTTTATATGTTGGTGAGTGCAATGGAGTGTGACTAACAAGAAAAAATTAGAAACTGGGGAATGACTCTGAAATTTTGAATTAATAATTAACACATTGTTGACAAGTAAAGCCAAATGAGTTTGAGTTTCTGTATGTATCAAACCTTTAACAATTTTCTTTATCATTGAAAATTGAGAGCAATCAGCGTATACTCTGTAATCTCAAGTATGATGCACCAAAAAAATTATACAAATATATATCAAATGAAATGTCAAATGGAAATAATGATAAAAAGAAATGTCAAATGAACTTAATCAGGAGGACTTGATACTTAGGCCACCATCATCTTACTGATACAGTCACAACAACAAGGGAGAAAGTGTGATGGATCAGACTGATTTAGACCTGCAGGCCAGGGTCATCTGTACTCTGGACAAGTGCTCTATCAACTGAGCTATCTTGCTGCCAAACTTGTTTGACCACCACATTCAACCTAGATCTACCTTAAATGCCTTAATTTGCCCCAAGAGAAAAATGTGAGGGACTAGGCCAGGCCCCAGGATCATGAGACATAGACTTAAGTTAGATTTTCATCTGCCTGTAGAATGTTTATTATTTATTGAATTAATTTCTAAATTTGCAGATAACAATACTTTTGTAATGCAATATTAAAAAATATATTTTAGTTTTGCTCTGCTTGATTACTAGAACATTGTAGTACAACATTAAGATTTTGGCTTAAGCTTAAAATGTTTCATGATCCCGAGGCCAGGATTTCAATCTGGGCCCCTTAAATCACCTGTCTGATGTTCTACCAACTGAGCAATCTGACCACCAGTGACCAAACTTGTCTGACCCCCACATTCTTCCCTCCTTAAAGTTCTTTGGCCTCAAAGACACTAACCCACAATCTCACTGTCACTCATTTGTCACATCCTCATCACAGCACCTCATGTAACAGGAAAGGAGAAAATGCAATAGATCAGACCATGATTTGAACCCAGGCTCTCTGACAGGTGCTGTATCAGCAGAGCTACCACTGAACAAACCTGTCTGACCACCACAGAGTAATCTATCTGAACAAACCTGTCTGGCCGCCACAGATTAATCTATTCCATGTATCAACAAGATGTAAGTAATTCAGTAGTTGTGAGATTAAGAGACTCTAGCATTCAGCATAAAAACATTCATTGAACCCCTCCGTCGTATAAAACCCCCCTTCATATAAAAACCAGTATTGGGTTCCACGACATATACAGATATATTTTTATGTTGCATTAAAGTCATCAAATATAGTTTAAAACTCTACATCAGAATCACATACTTTACAGATTCTTCAACGCAATCATTATTTGATGCATAATGTGAATACTGAAATGATAACACAACTGAAATTTACATGTATGGTAATCTCATTCTGGTAATTGATTCAAATAAAAAAAAAGCACTACCAATTTCTTGCCATATCTAAAATAAATTACACACAAATTGTGAGAATAACACAATGTTACCGGTTTTGAAGGGTGTAACATTTCTTTAACTGATGCGTCCATAAGTCTCTCCCGTTCTTCATGATAACGTCTTTGCTGCTCAAGAAGGGTTTCCATACTTAAACAATTAACACATCTATAATTTTAAAAGGGAAAATGAAAAATCATAGAAGAAACCCAAAACACGAATGCGTAAGTCGACGTCAATGAAATGCGTACCAAAGATTAATAATAGTTCTACTCTTTAAAACGTTTTGCCGACTTTTCATTTAAAGTGCGTTTTACAAACGTTGATCAATCGTTCAGAAAAAATTTCGTATATGTGATAAACTATTTCTTAATATTTTTTATTATATATATATATGTATACAGTTTCATGTTTTATATAATTTTTTTTATCATGTTGTAGTGCTTTCATGCATTTGTTGTTAAGAACTTTATATCGGACTTTTAGATGTTCGAGTTAGTCGGATTTAGCTCTTTTGCGTTTGGAGGAAGAATTTGTATTCAGAAAAAATTTACACAGTCACCTGCCGGCAAACTAATTGTTGATTACTCTAAAGACAATGGTAATGGCTCTTAGTTTGTTATTTACTCTTTAAGATGGTTGTTATATTACCTTTGTGGAAGCTACCATTTAAACACCTTTATTATGAATTTAGTCTACACCTAGAATGTGTGCTTAGCGTCTTGTGCTTTGTCACTTCTTGAACTTCTTCTTGCCATCTGAGTTTGATGTTTAAACGTCAGTACAAACTTTAAACGTCATATTTATCAGGTTATATTATGCTTTTAAAAAATTAACACTAACTATGACTGGTTCATTTTTACAATGTACATTTTGATAGGGTTTGAGGTGTGAATATTGGAACAAGAATATAATTAATATGGCCATACATGTTAACTCTACCACTTTAGGTGGAAGTCTACTGCTTTTTTACTCCATCTCCCTCCTACCACTTTTATTCGTAAATTTACTGCTTTTCTACAAAATCCATTTTTGGTTTGCCTGGGTAGCCATATTTGAAGCCACTTGTCATAAAATCTCGTTTGATATTGCATACTTTGAACTTGGAGCATTCAAACACTTTTTTTAGCTCACCTGAGCTGAAAGCTCAAGTGAGCTTTTCTGATCACATTTTGTCTGTAGTCCGTCTGTCCGTCTGTCTGTAAACTTTTCACATTTTCGACTTCTTCTCCAGAACCACTGGGCCAATTTCAACCAAACTTGCCACAAAGCATCCTTGGGTGAAGGGGATTCAAGTTTGTTCAAATGAAGGGCCACACCCTCTTTCAAGGGGAGATAATTAAGAATTAGTGAAAAATGAATAGCATCTTTAAAAAATCTTCTTCTCAAGAACCACAGGGCCAGGAAAGATGAAACTCATATGGAAGCATCCCCAGGTAGTGTAGATTCAAGTTTGTTCAAATCATGACCCCCGGGGGTAGGGCGGGGCCACAATGGAGGATCAAAGTTTTACATAGAAATATATAGGAAAAATCTTTAAAAATCTTCTTCTCAAGAACAGTAAAGCCATGAAGAGTCATATTTATATGGAAGCATCCCCAGGTAGTGTAGATTCAAATTTGTTCAAATCATGACCCCCGGGGGTAGGGCGGGGCCACAATGGAGGATCAAAGTTTTACATAGAAATATATAGGAAAAATCTTTAAAAATCTTCTTCTCAAGAACAGTAAAGCCATGAAGAGTCATATTTATATGGAAGCATCCTCAGGAAGTGTAGATTCAATTTTGTTCAAATCATGGCTCCCGGGGGTAGGGCGGGGCCACAATGGAGGATCCAAATTTTACTTAGAAATATATAGGAAAAATCTTTAAAAATCTTCTTTTCAAGAACAGTAAGGTCATGAAGAGTCATATTTATATGGAAGTATCCTCAGGAAGTGTAGATTCAATTTTGTTCAAATCATGGCCCCCGGGGGTAGGGCGGGGCCACAATAGAGGATCAAAGTTTTACATAGAAATATATAGGAAAAATCTTTAAAAATCTTCTTCTCAAGAACAGTAAAGCCATGAAGAGTCATATTTATACGGAAGCATCCTCAGGTAGTGTAGATTCAAGTTTGTTCAAATCATGACCCCCGGGGGTAGGGCGGGGCCACAATGGAGGATCCAAATTTTACTTAGAAATATATAGGAAAAATCTTTAAAAATCTTCTTTTCAAGAACAGTAAAGTCATGAAGAGTCATATTTATATGGAAGCATCCTCAGGAAGTGTAGATTCAATTTTGTTCAAATCATGGCTCCCGGGGGTAGGGCGGGGCCACAATGGAGGATCCAAATTTTACTTAGAAATATATAGGAAAAATCTTTAAAAATCTTCTTTTCAAGAACAGTAAAGTCATGAAGAGTCATATTTATATGGAAGCATCCTCAGGAAGTGTAGATTCAATTTTGTTCAAATCATGGCTCCCGGGGGTAGGGCGGGGCCACAATAGAGGATCAAAGTTTTACATAGAAATATATAGGAAAAATCTTCTTCTCAAGAACAGCAAAGCCATGATGAGTCAAATTTATATGGAAGCATCCTCAGGTAGTGTAGATTCAATTTTGTTCAAATGATGACCCCCGGGGGTAGGGTGGGGCCCAATGGTGGATCGAAAGTTTTACATAAGAACATATAGAAAAAAAATTTCTTCTCAAGAACAGAAAAGCTATGTTAGTCTTATTGATATGGAAGCATCCTCGGGTAATGTAGATTCAAGTTTGTTCAAATGATGACCTCTGAGATAGGGAGGAGCTACAATGGGGGATCAAATTTTTACAAAGGAATAAATGGGAAAATTCTTTTAAAATCTTCTCAAGTACAACAAATTCATTTGTTATATTGACATGAAAGCATCATCAGGTAGTTTAAAATTCAAGCCCCCCCCCCCCCCCCCTGTTCATTACTGAACTGATTTGTGCCTTAGTCTAGCCAGTGTGCTCAGGTGAGCGATGTGGCCCATGGGCCTCTTGTTATGCAATGTTTATACAGATTTCAAGCACGTGTTTGACAATGTCAGGTGCACAAATCTCAGTGATTACACTGACTACGATAAATTTTGTCAACATCCCCGTCAAGAAAAAGAGAGATATAGTAATCTGGAAGTGGATGAAATCTTTTGACATTGTTCAGTAAAGTAAAAAACGAAATCAGCATTCATTTATAATATTTTTTTTGATCTCTACTTTCATTTTCAGTTATCGAGGGGAAATCCATTTTTTTAACGAAAGATAAGAACTAGTTTTAGATCTGAATTAAGCTAAATAATGTCATCATTCACTGTATTTGTCAATTGAATGAAATTCAGAATTATTACTTCCAGGCTATGTCAAAAAAGAACACTGTTCAAAAGGCTAAATTAAGCAGCCATTCAAAGCCAAAGTAATGAAAATGAAAATATTTATTTTTGTATATATAATTTATGTTAAAGGTGTTTATGTCTTCTTCATTGCTGTTGATATCTGAGTTTAATTATTGCAGTGGTCAATTTAGGGAGTACATGTATTTATATATATATCTTCTTGAATCGATGTGTAAAACAACGCGCGCAATGCTACCTCTTTTGAGGTTGTGAATATCCCTCTTTTTCATCACAGTAGGTTGACATGTATGATATGGCTGAAGGTCTTGTAGTGCTAAGTCATGTGTGCCCAGTAGTCGTGCACTATTTTTTTTTTATCATAATATTTTGTAACTTTATTTTGTAGTTTAGAAACCAGTATGACAATGATGTCACAGTATGGAGTCCACAGGTAAAAAGAGAGTTTAAAATGAAAGTGTTAATATTGATTTTACTTTTCATGTTAATTTCCATCTTTTGTCAAATTGCTGAAATACTTGGGAATGTTAAAATTGAAAATAATAGAAACTTTGTGACGACAGGGTCGAATTCATCAACTGGAGTATGCCATGGAAGCTGTAAAGCAAGGATCTGCTACTGTTGGTCTGAAGTCTAAAACACATGCAATCCTTGTGGCCTTAAAGGTTTGTAAATTTTTTGATTGTTTTTCTCTTTGATATTGTATTTGAAACATTTATCTCCTTATTTATTAGTTGACCATTCAACCATTTGGGCAAGTGCAATTGTGTATTATTGGATACCTATTCACTTTTATAACAATCAGATCCACCTCTTCAAATTGCACAATACATATGGAACTTTGAGACTTCACATGATGTCATATATGTTAGTTGCATTTTCATATAATGAAATATGAAAGGTGCAAATTTTTAACAAAGAGAGTTTAATCTTCTATCCATATGCAATAACCATTAAATCAAGGGAGTTTATTTTTTTGGGTGAACTCTGTTGTCACTGTCAGAACGTAGATAGTAGGGAGATGCATTTGTGTTGCAATGGGGTCTCGAGGTTACAGCGAAAAAAAGTTCATTTGGATCAATGTGCAAAATCCTAGTTTTCTCTTTCCAGGCTTTTCTTTAAAAGCTCCCAGTGTCTCGCTATACTCGCTATGGTATACTTGGAAATAAATGCAGGCTTTATTTGCACATATACAATATAATTGATGTTATTATAGCCATATTAGCTTCCAAGGCTATTACAGATCCTGCAGGGCTGATATGGATATATATCACATTGTTTGCAGATCACACCCTAAAAAACAGTACTTTTGATAATATACCTATTTCTTTCTTAACCTTCTCTTTAAAAATTTGTGCATTTTATTTTAAATTACTGCTATATCATATAATAACCTAGTTAGTTAATATTTATTTGTATTTGCTTAAAAAGATGTGTGTTGTATGTTAGTATTAAGTATGTAATAAACATAATAAAACATACCCTTTTCCATATCACACCCTGCATCAGCCCTCGATCAATTTCAGCCCTCGGCCTTCGGCCCTCTGGCTGATATTGGTGTCTTAGGCTGATACAAAATGTGATATGGAAAAGGGTATGTATTATTCTCTATATAAGCCTCTATGTTATATGATCATGTATAATTGGAAATACAGATGATTAATTCCATAGATTCTTTTCTTTCCTTTTTTAGCTCACCTGAGCTGAAAGCTCAAGTGAGCTTTTCTGATCACCCGTTGTCCGTCGTCCGTCCGTCTGTCCGTCCGTCTGTAAACTTTTCACATTTTCATCTTCTTCTCAAGAACCACTGGGTCAATTTTAACCAAACTTGGTACAAAGTATCCTTGGGTGAAGGGGAGTGTAAATTGTTAAAATAAAGGGTCAAGTCCCCTTACAAGGGGAGATAATCAAGAAAAGACAAAAATAGGGTGGGGTCATTAAAAAATCTTCTTCTCAAGAACCACTGGGCCAGAAAAGCTGAAACTTATGTGGAAGCATCCTGGGATAGTGTAGATTCTATATTGTTAAAATCATGACCCCCGGGGGTAGGGCGGGGCCACAATAGGGAATCCAAGTTTTACATTGAAATACATAAGAAAAATCTTTAAAAATCTTCTTCTCAAGAACCACTGGGCCAGAAAAGCTGAAACTTATATGGAAGCATCCTGGGGTAGTGTAGAATCTAAATTGTTCAAATCATGACCTCCGGGGGTAGGGCGGGGCCACAATAGGGAATCCAAGTTTTACATTGAAATACATAAGAAAAATCTTTAAAAATCTTCTTCTCAAGAACCACTGGGCCAGAAAAGCTGAAACTTATATGGAAGCATCCTGGGGTAGTGTAGATTCTAAATTGTACAAATCATGACCCCCGGGGGTAGGGCGGGGCCACAATAGGGAATCCAAGTTTTACATTGAAATATATAGGAAAAATCTTTAAAAATCTTCTTCTCAAGAACCACTGGGCCAGGAAAGCTGAAACTTATATGGAAGCATCCTGGGGTAGTGTAGAATCTAAATTGTTCAAGTCATGACCCCCGGGGGTAGGGCGGGGCCACAATAGGGAATCCAAGTTTTACATTGAAATATATCGGAAAAATCTTTAAAAATCTTCTTCTCAAGAACCACTGGGCCAGAAATACTGAAACTTATATGAAAGCATCCTAGGGTAGTGTAGAATCTAAATTGTTCAAATCATGATCCCCGGGGGTAGGGCGGGGCCACAATAGGGAATCCAAGTTTTACATTGAAATATATAGGAAAAATCTTAAAAAATCTTCTTCTCAAGAACCACTGGGCCAGAAATACTGAAACTTATATGGAAGCATCCTGGGGTAGTGTAGATTCTAAATTGTTCAAATCATGACCCCTGGGGGTAGGGCGGGGCCACAATAGGGAATCCAAGTTTTACATTGAAATATATAGGAAAAATCTTAAAAAATCTTCTTCTCAAGAACCACTGGGCCAGAAATACTGAAACTTATATGGAAGCATCCTGGGGTAGTGTAGAATCTAAACTGTTCAAATCATGACCCCGGGGGTAGGGCAGGGCCACAGTAGGGAATCCAAGTTTTACATTGAAATATATAGGAAAAATCTTTACAAATCTTCTTCTGAAGAACCTCTGGGCCAGAAAAGCTGAAACTTATATGGAAGCATCCTGGGGTAGTGTAGATTCTAAATTGTTCAAATCATGACCCCCGGGGGTAGGGCGGGGCCCTAATAGGGAGTCCAAGTTTTACATTGAAATACATGAGAAAAATCTTTAAAAAAATCTTCTTCTCAAGAACCACTGGGCTAGAAAAGCTGAAACTTATATGGAAGCATCCTGGGGTAGTGTAGATTATAAATTGTTCAAATCTTGACCCCTGAAGGTAGGGCGGGACACAATAGGGAATCCAAGTTTTACATTGAAATATATAACTTAAAGAAAAATCTTTAAAAATCTTCTTTTCAAGAATCACTGGACCAATAAAGCTGAGACATATTTGGAAGCATCCTGAGGTAGTGTAGATTCTAAATTGTTCAAATTTTGACCCCCGGTGGTAGGGCGGGGCCACAATAGGTATATTAAAAGGGGGAAATCTGGTAAAGAACAGCATGGCTAAAGTTACTCAGGTGAGCGATGTGGCCCATGGGCCTCTTGTTTTTTTTTGTGTGTGATGTATAATTTTTTTGTAATGTAGAGAGCATCTTCAGAGTTAGCAGCACATCAGAAGAAAATTATCCCCATTGATGACCATGTAGGAGTGTCCATAGCCGGACTAACAGCTGATGCTCGTCTCCTCAGGTTGTCCAAGAATTAGATTTATAGCAGACTTATGAACTAAATCGGAGTATACAGTAAAATGATTTCTATAAAAAAGAGGATAAAACATTTAATAGATGTTTCAAACTTTAAAAGCAACTAGAACTCTTACTAAGACTTGATATCTGTGATAATGGTTTAATTTTGCGATATTTTTTCTAGTAACTTTATGAGGTCGGAATGTTTAAACTCTAGATACGCTTACGATTCACCATTACCTGTCTCCCGTCTTGTAGCAGCAGTTGGAAACAGTATCCTTTGACAGCTAAATCAAAAATATAATCTCGTTATTGTTTCTGGAATGTATTTAGTCAGTCACTCATCAGACTTTAGATTCACATTAAATGTGAACCTCAATTCTGATGATAAACCAACTTAACACATTCACTACTAATAATACAAGCTTCTATATCTTTTTTTTTTGTTTGTGTGCTTTATGTCCATTTGAGAATTTTTCACGTGTTGGTGGTAGGCTGCAAATTTACACCTGAACATTTTATATTGATAAAGAAGCATAGATTTTTGAAGTTCAATTTCACCAAGTTTTGAAATGAATCCACCACAATCCAAGCTTCCGAAATGAAGATAAATTTTATAAACTAAGTAAATGCGTAGGTTATGTATATTTAAAAGTATGGAAATTGCTGGAAAGTAAATGTAGATTTAGAATTAAATTTGGGAATTAAAAATGCATATAATCTTCCTTATTAGCTAGAAAATTTCATGAGTGACCCCAAATTCTCTTTGCTTTTTTAAAGTGGAGGACAAAACATTGCATGTTCTTCCATCAGGAATTCTCTCAACTCTCTAAAATTCACAAGATTTATTTTTTCTCAAGTGGAATAGGAAATGCCAATTCAACAGGGATTACGTATCCATTATTTCACTCTTATTCTATTTTCTTATAATGTCCCTGTTGAATTGGCATTTTCTATTCCACTTGATGTCTGTTAATGCAGTGTTTAATTTTGTTAGTACTGAAGTAAGTTGACAATACATGTATAATTGTTCCTTATGAATGAGAATCACAAATCCCTACACAGAGGTACGGGCGACGCCCCTTTGGAGTGGGTTTACTGGTTGCAGGTTATGACGTAAGTAATGTCATTCTGAGTGTGTCACTGAAAGAGTTAATTTATAAATATTTCAATATTTCTTTCAAAAACATAAGCTATTTCTGAAAGAGAAAATCAATTTATCTTTAGAATATTCCAGTAATCTTCAAGATATTGTGTTAATCTTCAAAATATTCAATTTGATTGCTTGATTTTAGTACATACTGTATGTGTGATGTGTTTCTCACTTTGCTTTTCAGGACCAAGGACCACACATTTACCAGACTTGTCCATCGGCAAACTACTATGACTGTAAAGCCATGGCTATAGGTGCTCGATCACAGTCAGCGAGGACATATGTAGAAAAACACCTCGACAAATTCTCCGAATGTGTGTAACCTGTGGTTAAATTTACTTGTTTGATATATGAGAAAAGAAACTTTTATAATCATTGCTTTTTGCCTGAAAAAATGGACATTATAATTCATGAAGGAAAATACTGATATTTTTTTAAATGGGAGAATGAATAAATCATCTGGCAAGAAATGATATGCATAACCTTGTTCAAATAAAAACAGATTTACATGTAGTTAAAGTGAACTTCTTTATGATAATGTTATGAACTTTTTAATGTTGTTTTTAGGTTCTTTAGAGGAGTTGATCAAACATGGACTGAGAGCTCTGAGAGAAACCTTACCACAGGAGGTGGAGCTAACAACAAAGGTATGTAATGCAGATGAAATCTAAAAAAAAATCTTAGTTTAAGTACCTTAAATTACTATTGAATTATTGTCTTTCTTCAAAAACATTGAGATTTCTTGTACTAACATTTAACAGGGAGATGGTTTTTCTAACTATAACATGAATCACATGATAAAACTTGGATAATTTCTTAATTTTTGTTTTTGTCTTTTTTCCTATTCAGAACTGCTCTCTGGGAATTGTTGGTAAAGAGACAGACTTTACTATTTATGATGATGAAGATGTACAAAAATATGTATCCTTTTCTTTTCAATTGAGATTCTTATTTCAACAATCCTGCCCTTTAGGAAGTATTCAAGTATAATCATGATAACTTTTAAAAATGAAAGTATGCTTTAAAAAGAAGTCCAAGAAGAATAAGTTGAATCTGTTTGCCTTAATTTGTTAAGTTGGCAATGATTGAGGGAGAAGAAAGATCTCGTGCCCCGCCCCCGTCAGGAGCTGATCAGGTCAATTTTATGGCATTCGCATTATTATGTCGTAATCATTTCCAGTAATCCTTGCAGAGTAGACGTTTAAATGTTGCCAGATAAACAGCATATAATTGTCAGTTAATCCTGGTATACCTTAAACAGCTCTAATTTAGCAGTTCTTTCTTAAGTTGTGTAAATATTGTCCAATGGTTACATGAAAGACATTAAAAAATTTTATCATAGTAACTTCAAGTGCATAATTTAATGATTTTTTTTTTTAACCACAAAAGTTGTCGCAGTAATTGACATGCCTCATATGACATTTTGTAGGCTGCCATGGACACACAGGAAGGGGAGGGACAACAGCCTGCTGACCCCCAGCCAGCTGATCCCGCCGTAGAGGAACAGGGAATGGAACACTGACCTTGACATACATTCTAATGTCTTCACACATATGTCACTTCTCTGTTAAAAAATAGTGCTATCATCTGGTCCCAAAATTTCATAGACTGTTGAAGAAGACTGTAAAAATACTTTGTATATCTATCCATTAAACTATGTCAAAAAAATTCTTATTATGCCTGTCATTGTAATTGTCATATCAGGGTGGGAAAAAAGCACTTGTCCTCTTGTCCTGGACAAGTGAAAATCAACCGAGGATAGGAGGATGTCATTATCTATTTGTCCCTGGTGTCACATGACAAGTATAATTTTTGGTGTGATAATTTTCTTCTGTTTATATCCAGTGATAATGTCAAGAAAATGGAACAAATTGCTTTCAGATTTGACAAGACACTTGACTGTGAATTAACAAATACATGTATCATATGTACATCACAGTTTGAAAAGAAATCTAAAACAAGCTTTTATCTCTTTTTTTTTATTGCTTGGCGAAAAATGAGCTTTATAGGGGACAAGTAAAATCACCACAGGGACAAGTGGGTATGATTTTCCCTGGGGTGAATGGTCACTGAATTTTTTTTCTCACCCTGCACATATACATGTATTTCAAACTTTGTATATTACTGGTAGTTGAAGGAGGTATACCACACCAAATTTTATTTACCGGATAATGGATATTTAAAAATCCATCGAATAAAATTTTGGTGTGGTATACCTCTTTAAATTATTGCCACAAAAAATAAAGGGGGGAAAGCATGTCTTTATGTCAGGCTGTCCACTGTGCTAGCTTTGATCTGAGATAAAGGTTTCTTACAGGGGTAATTATATTTGTAAAGGACAGATTAAGGTCATCTGCAAGTAAAAAGAAGCATCTTCAGGTAGTGTAGATTCAAATTTATTAAATTTTGACAGGGTGGGGCCACAATGGGCGATTTATAAACACTATATTATTGTTTTAATGTTCTGATTTATTTGTATCGTTATTGATGAATAAGAGAAAAATACCAATGGTTGCAAAAATAAAAACTAAATTCTTCTGTAAGACAGTTATATCTGCAAAAAAGATTTTGCCTCTTCCTTATCTGAAAACTGAGCTATTAAGTCACAAAGTGATTCTAAAGTTAAATAAATATACATAAATCAAGTACTTAATTTAGTCATGATTATATTTAAGCCCCTTTTACACCGATTTTTGTGTCAATTTCACTGCATGATTAAAGAAGCATGGCTTCGAATACGCTAATTTGTGCTAATTAGAAGATGAGGATCACGCTAAGTTTTGACTGTGCTAATTTATGTACGTTTACAGTAAGCATAAAATACAAATGTGAGCATGTGGCCCATGGGCCTCTCGTATTAGTAGTTCATATAATAAATTAGTATCACGACAAAGCATCAATAGATTTGGGTACTGCATACAATGTAAGAGGAGTTCTAAAACCAGAGTTTTTTTTTTTTTTTTTTTTTTTGAAGGAAAACGCTGATTTTTGTCCCTTTATTGGCCTCCTGTATAGAATTTTCAGAACTTTATTGCAAATCTCTTGGGACAGAATCATTTTTAAAACTTGATGTAACAAACTAAGTGAAATATAAGAGGGGTTCTGAGAACCGGGATTCTGAAGAAAAACTTCGTTTTTTCGACCCAAATTGCCTCGAGGGTAAAAATGAAAATTCAGAAAACTTTATGCACTTAATAAAAATACTATATTATAAATAATAAACTTAATAAGAACCCACAAATAATATTCCAAAAGATTATCTGGCTACTATGTAAAATGTAAGAGGAGAATGGGGAAACATTTTTTGCAGAAACGTCTTTTTTCGATCCCCAATTGCCATCAAGAGTAAAAAGGAAAATTCGGAAACCTTACTGCACATCTTTTGGACATCAATGATCAAATTCCAAAAGATGAATTGACTACTGTTTAAAATGTGAGAAGTGTTAGGGGAGGATATTAGTTGTAGTAGTAATAGTTAGTTTTATTTATAGTCGGATCATGTACATTAAACAGAAACATGAGCTTTTAAGCTCTTTAAACGACTGGAAACCAGTGTGACAGAAGGACGAACCAGGGTAACAATATATCCGAACTTCCTTTAGTGCAGGTATAAAACTGAAAAATTAACAACCATAAAAAAAATTTGCAAATTGCTGTGCTTTAACATGTTTTCCCCATTTCCTTCCTACCATAGAATTCTATTATTTGTATTAAAAAAAAAATAATTAAAAAAATAATAAAAATAAAAAATGCACAAATTCAAATTACCTGTTTACGTAAAGAAGTTGAACGAACAAGGTCCACAAATCGCAAGAATCTAAAAAAAAAAAAGAAAAGAAAAGGAAAAAAAAAGACATTATGTGTCTATCAAATAGCATCCATACACCATGGAGAGCAAAATGATCAATTCTTCATACTAAAATACATTATTTCTATTTGAGTGGGTCTTCACTCCATTTTTTTTTTAATTTTACTCAAAGTATGCGTAAAAATGTACATTCTTCGGTTAACAATAACATGGAAAAACACCGACTTATAACCTTAAAAATATACTTCTATGACACAACATTCGTATTTTTCCAAGAAATAATTGAAGTCCATTTAGTCAAGGGTCATAACACATATGCCAGTGAGCATTTGTAATGAGCGGTAAGGCGTAGTGGATAGCGTGTAAGTCTCGAAGAGAAAATTGATACACATAATTTTTATTGCTTGGGTTCGAACCCCAAGAATACACAGGTAGTTTTTATGATATCTATAGAAAGATTTTTTGCCAAAATAATTTTCAGCAGAAAAGATTCGTTTTCATAATTTCATACCTCTAAATGATAGGAAATTAAATACTAAACTACAATTTGAATACGAATTTTATACATTTGAAGCTATTTAGGAATTCTGCACGCCTTATTCGCCTATCTCCTTCATACGTATCATATTGAGCATAAAATCCTCAGGTAAGCATTTGGTCGATGGGCCTCTTATAATATAAGTATTTCATATAATTTATTCATTATACTTATTTGAAATTATAGAATTTAATGGACCATGCATTTAATTTAATTTTGACCAAAAAGGACTTTGGAAAGAAGTTCTTTTCGACTTTTATTGGTCTCAAAGATGAAATTGGAGCACATCAGACAGAGGACAACACTAATCATATTGCAAAAGATGATTGACGCTGTTGCATAAAATGTTTGTGGAGTCTGGGAACTGGGTTTTGTAGGGGGAAAAGTCGATTTTTGCCATCCAATTGGCCTGAAGGGTAGAAATGATAGCTCCCTCCAATTGCCCTGAACGATGAAATTAAAATTCTGAAGCCTTATTTCACATGTGCAAGACACCATCAATCTTACTGCAAAAGGTGAATTAATTGAGTATTGAGTAAAATATAAATAGTTTGAGGAAGATGATAGAGTGACAGCTGGACGGACATGTGTTATATAGTAAGACTTCGCTGCCTTTACAGTGAATCTTCCTCCCGGAAGGCTGCCTATATAGTGAAACTTCCTCCAGGAAAGCTGGCTATATATATAGTTAACATTCCTCCCGCGGAAGGCTTCCTTTATAGTGAAACGTCCTTCCGGAAGGCTGGCAACATAGTGAATCTAAGAGTCGCTGAGTAAGGAGTTGAGCGTTACGTCGCGGGTTTGAATCCTATACTGCGGGACTTGGAGACCGGTCCTTCGGATGAGACCGCACACTGTATTTCCTATAATTATACATCGACTATTGATTCCAAACATTTTAATTACAAGAAAACATTAAAGAGCCTGGATTGAGCATCTGAAACATATAATCCTCCATCGTGTTAATGTCCTTCTTCACCCTACAACTGTAGTCCTGCTGGACATGTTATTACCGGTGATGTAAATATAGTTAATAATGAGGAACTTAGATCCCTTATTTTAAAAGGGCCAAAATTTAGGGAACCCCGATCTTTCAACTGGAATCATGATTTCATAAATATTATAAATTCTGTGGAAGATGACCACAGGCGATGAGCCAGGCATGAAAACGAAGACCTTGACACTTTGTCAGAATGGATTAAAAGTATCAGATGTACATTAAAATCTCGCATTAAGGGATTGAGGGGCAAAATGAAAACCATCTATCCTTCTGTGTTCAATAATTCAGAAGTGAAAAAGGAATTAGATAGAATACACGATCAGTATGTACTGGTCCCAGCTGACAAAGCACGTAACAATTAACATTGTCTTTGTTTGTAAGGCTCATTATTTTAATTGTATTTTAGAAGAACTGGAATTTAATTCTGCAAGTGGCAATCCAACTTATACCCATAACTCCCTTGCTAAGGAGGAAATTCTTCAAAATCAGATGTCAGTTTTGAATATTGTTGATATTCCCAACAACCAAATTGAATTTGAATTACCATATTTATATTGGATTCCGAAACTTCATGAAAATCCTTACAAAGGCTCCAGTGAATGTTCTACCAAGCCTCTTTCTTTACTCCTCAGTAAAATATTTACAGCAGTGAAGGAGAAAAAAGCAAGAAAACAACATACATAAGTGAAGGTATAGTGAACATATTTTTATGCATTTTGTATTAATGTTAACATTACTTAAAATGAAATTATTTACAAAGATTTTTAAAACATTGGCTTTGCTCGTTGTTTTGACGTTCTCCTCTCAACTTCCGTTTTGCATTTGCATGTGTCATTATATAAATTTACAATTTTTAGGGATGTCAACGAATAGTCGACTATTCGACTATCAGTCGAATGGACCGACGATCGAATAATGAAACGACATTCGAATATTATCATAATTAAATAAATACAATAAAAGAGTGATAACGTGATGGAATTCTCATCACAAAATTGAGAAACCGTCTTTCCCAAGAGACAGTCGATAATTTTCCTCAACAAAGAACGGTTGATTTTCCATGTACATATAAAAAGTACAGTGATTATAAGTACTTCACTACTGCCGAGTACTGCGGGAATTATTTAGCAGTAACTGGCTGTATTGTTTTTGTAATTTTAAAATCACTAACCAATTTACTAGGCTTTGTTTGTAAAATTATTAATTGGACTTGATCTTATACCATGTACCAATTATTTTTTGTTATTTTAAGATTGCTCAAACGCAAGGAAGAAACCATAACTTTGACATGTTTTGACACTCCGATAATTATTAAAACAATTCG